TATTAGGAGGAAAATGTTAAAGAATTGATTATGTGTGCCAGAAGCATTTAGTTCAAGTCTAGATTAGTTTGGAAAATTTTCATAATTGAACACTCTGCTTCTGCTTCCAATCCTGATGATTTATTGCTACTAATTTAATAAATTATCGAGCGAGGGGGAAAACAACGTGATTGAAAAAATTAATTAAGTTTGTTCGAGTTTGTTCCATTAAAATTTTGTCAGGAAATTGTTTTTTAATGTTTTTCCTCATCATGTTGTGTTCCCCTCGTTATCGACTTAATCAATCAGTCAATTAAAAAGTTTAATTGAAATTTTAAAGCTTGAATTACATAAAAATGAAAACGTTAACATTGAAATGTAAATCCAGCAGGAAACATGAGCAGCAACATCAATTGATAAACATTTCATTACATTTAACCCAGGTATAAGCCTGCAAGCCTGTCTAACATCATAGCCTTTCCTCTTCTCGAGCTTGTGCAAGAAAAGAGGAACAAAAAAATTCCTACAAGCAAAAAACAATATTTATTCTATATCCACTCACTGATACATACATTGTTCATATATGAAATTTTTCCTCATGAGTGAATATTTTTACGGCTACAGAGAGATGAAAAATAATAATAATATAAATGTGAAAAGGAGAGAAAAAGTATTTAAAAACAATTTTTCATCCTATTTATTCACTTATGTTCTTTCCACAATAAAAAGCACAAAAAACAAAACTGAACCACTTGCAAATTTTTTAAGGGGTTATATAGGGATGAGATGGAAAAGAAGATGAAAAACTTTATTGAAAAGCTTCAAATAATCAACATGAGCAAAACCCTTAAAGCTGTTAAAAATATTCGTTTGGAAGCCTTTCAAGCCGTTGAAGAGGGGAGATGACGTAGAAAAAAATATGTAGCAACAAATAAGCGCGAAACAACATATGAATAAAGGAGGGTTGGAATATAAATATTTGAACAAGAATATATGTATGTACTTATAATATGTAATCTTGGCGGGAACCTTATCTGTTATTATTGTTCGAGATTAAATTGATCTCGAATTTCCTAAAACTTCAGGATGCTTTAATTTGCACGTCTCTATAATCGTGCTGTAATGATGTTGTAAAACTTTTTATATTCACACCGTTTTCACGTGTGAATATATTAGTTTTGTTCAGATTGAAAAATCAGTTTTTTGAATTTTGTGAGGATATGGAGCAAGATAGCTTCAAATGTTTGGAGATGAAAAGTTTGTGCCTGAAATTTTACATCATTTTCAAAAAACAGATTTCAAATTGGTTATGGCATTGCTGAGAAAATCGCAAAATACGCTTTCTGTAAGCAAACAAGCAAGCAAGTTAATCAGCAAGAAATCTCAATAACGAGACATTGTTGAGACTTCTAGTTTTTTACATTTGATCCGTGCTGCTCTATAGAAGAGCTGTATTGTTTTTAGGCAAGGTAGGAGCAGCCGTTGCTTCAGAAAAAGCAAAAAACTTTCCTTTCTTACGAATTATTCAAATTAAAAGTTCACTGTGATTTTTATAAAATTAAACTTTGGATGAAAAAAATTTTTTTGAGCAAAGAACCAAGTAGGAAATACATTTTCAATTATGAACTTGGGACAGGTCCAGTCAAAATCTAGTTTTTCGCTTTTTTCTTCTTCGAGGATAAATTTAAATACAGTTAAACTTTGTATGAGCATTCTAATCCTCAGGCCACACATTTCTGAATTAATAAAAATCATTTTTTTGGACAAAATTTTAAGTCACGTTGTTTTTGAATGTACAACCAAATTTATAAAATTTGGGTCTGACGACATATAGAATACATTTCTTGCTTTAGATATTTAAAACTGTTTTGTATAAATATTAGTATATTCGCACAAAGTTTCACTGTAATTGGATAAACTTTCGAAGAAAAAAGTGAAAAACTAAATTTTGACTAGGGTCGCCCCTAGTCCAAAATTAAAAATGTATTTCCTACTTGGTTATTTGCTCAAAAAAATTTTAGGATGTTTTATTTCTATTTGTTTTAAGCATTAGAATATTTATAAAAAGTTTTAATCCATTTGGATAAACCCTCGAAGAAAAAAGTGACAAAATTGATTTTGACTAGGGTCGCCCCTAGTCCAAAATTGAAAATGTATTTCCTTCTTGGTTCTCTGCTTAAAAAATTTTTGGGAATGTTTTATTTGTATTTGTTTTAAGCACTAGAATATTTATAAAAAGTTTCAATCCATTTGGATAAACCTTCGAAGAAAAAAGTGACAAAATTGATTTTGACTAGGGTCGCCCCTAGTCCAAAATTGAAAATGTATTTCCTTCTTGGTTCTTTGCTCAAAAAAATTCTAAGATGTTTTATTTGTATTTGTTTTAAGCACTAGAATATTTATGCAAAGTTTCAATCCATTTAAATAAACCCTCGAAGAAAAAAGTGACAAAATTGATTTTGACTAGGGTCGCCCCTAGTCCAAAATTGAAAATGTATTTCCTACTTGGTTCTTTGCTCAAAAAAATTTAGGATGTTTTATCATATTCACACAAAATTTTCAATTTTTGTGAATATATTGTTTTTTTGTATTTGTTTTAAGCACAAGAATATTTATGCAAAGTTTCAATCCATTTGGATAAACCCTCGAAGAAAAAAGTGACAAAATTGATTTTGACTAGGGTCGCCCCTAGTCCAAAATTGAAAATGTATTTCCAACTTGGTTCTTTGCTCAAAAAGAATTTTAGGATGTTTTATTTGTATTTTTTTTAAGCATTAGAATATTTATGCAAAGTTTCAATCCATTTGGATAAACTCTCGAAGAAAAAAGTGAGAAAATTGATTTTGACTAGGGTCGCCCCTAGTCCAAAATTGAAAATGTATTTCCTACTTGGTTCTTTGCTCAAAAAAATTTTAGGATGTTTTATTTGTATTTGTTTTAAGCATTAGAATATTTATGCAAAGTTTCAATCCATTTGGATAAACCCTCGAAGAAAAAAGTGAGAAAATTGATTTTGACTAGGGTCGCCCCTAGTCCAAAATTGAAAATGTATTTCCTACTTGGTTCTTTGCTCAAAAAGAATTTTAGGATGTTTTATTTGTATTTTTTTTAAGCATTAGAATATTTATGCAAAGTTTCAATCCATTTGGATAAACTCTCGAAGAAAAAAGTGAGAAAATTGATTTTGACTAGGGTCGCCCCTAGTCCAAAATTGAAAATGTATTTCCTACTTGGTTCTTTGCTCAAAAAGATTTTAGGATGTTTTATTTGTATTTGTTTTAAGCATTTAAATATTTATGCAAAGTTTCAATCCATTTGGATAAACCCTCGAAGAAAAAAGTGAGAAAATTGATTTTGACTAGGGTCGCCCCTAGTCCAAAATTGAAAATGTATTTCCTTTTTGGTTCTTTGCTCAAAAAGAATTTTAGGATGTTTTATTTGTATTTTTTTTAAGCATTAGAATATTTATGCAAAGTTTTAATCCATTTGGATAAACTCTCGAAGAAAAAAGTGAGAAAATTGATTTTGACTGGGGTCGCCCCTAGTCCAAAATTGAAAATGTATTTCCTTCTTGGTTCTTTGCTCAAAAAAAATTTAAGATGTTTTATTTGTATTTGTTTTAAGCATTAAAATATTTATGCAAAGTTTCAATCCATTTGGATAAACCCTCGAATAAAAAAGTGACAAAATTGATTTTGACTAGGGTCGCCCCTAGTCCAAAATTGAAAATGTATTTCCTACTTGGTTCTTTGCTCAAAAAAATTTTAAGATGTTTTATTTGTATTTGTTTTAAGCATTAGAATATTTATGCAAAGTTTCAATCCATTTGGATAAACTCTCGAAGAAAAAAGTGAGAAAATTGATTTTGACTAGGGTCGCCCCTAGTCCAAAATTGAAAATGTATTTCCTACTTGGTTCTTTGCTCAAAAAAATTTTAGAATGTTTTATTTGTATTTGTTTTAAGCATTAGAATATTTATGCAAAGTTTCAATCCATTTGGATAAACCCTCGAAGAAAAAAGTGAGAAAATTGATTTTGACTAGGGTCGCCCCTAGTCCAAAATTGAAAATGTATTTCCTACTTGGTTCTTTGCTCAAAAAAATTTTAGGATGTTTTATTTGTATTTGTTTTAAGCATTAAAATATTTATGCAAAGTTTCAATCCATTTGGATAAACCCTCGAAGAAAAAAGTGACAAAATTGATTTTGACTAGGGTCGCCCCTAGTCCAAAATTGAAAATGTATTTTCTACTTGGTTCTTTGCTCAAAAAAATTTTAAGATGTTTAATTTGTATTTGTTTTAAGCATTAAAATATTTATGCAAAGTTTCAATCCATTTGGATAAACTCTCGAAGGAAAAAAGTGAGAAAATTGATTTTGACTAGGGGCGCCCCTAGTCCAAAATTGAAAATGTATTTCCTACTTGGTTCTTTGCTCAAAAAAATTTTAGGTTGTTTTATTTGTATTTGTTTTAAGCATTAAAATATTTATGCAAAGTTTTAATCCATTTGGATAAACTCTCGAAGAAAAAAAGTGACAAACTGATTTTGACTAGGGTCGCCCCTAATCCAAAATTGAAAATGTATTTCCTACTTGGTTGTTTGCTCAAAAAAAAATTAAGATGTTTTATTTGTATTTGTTTTAAGCATTAAAATATTTATGCAAAGTTTCAATCCATTTGGATAAACCCTCGAAGAAAAAAGTGAGAAAATTGATTTTGACTAGGGTCGCCCTTAGTCCAAAATTGAAAATGTATTTCCTACTTGGTTCTTTGCTCAAAAAAATTTTAGGATGTTTAATTTGTATTTGTTTTAAGCACAAGAATATTTATGCAAAGTTTCAATCCATTTGGATAAACCCTCGAAGAAAAAAGTGACAAAATTGATTTTGACTAGGGTCGCCCCTAGTCCAAAATTGAAAATTGATTTTCTATGTTGTACTTTGGTCAAAAAAATTTTTTGTATGTTTTATTTGAATTGACATATTTCTGACATAAATCATATACCAATATTACTTTTTGTAATGCATAGCTTAAAAAAAATTACAAAAGTCCTCGTGTTATTGATCGAGGGACTTCAGCGCATTTTTGACGAAGCGATCAGTATTTGATTATAATTAATAATTTGCTGCAATGAATTTCCATATAGAAAAAGTTTATCATTTAACGGTTTTTTAAAATTTGAAATTTTACAACGGCTAGAAAAAATTTGAAATTATAGAGGTAAATTTGAATTTATAGAGGTAAAACAAAATTTGAGCAGGTTACACTGAAAACAAAACAAAAACTCATTAATTATAGCATAAATACACTGCTTGAAGACTTTTAACTGTTCGATCGGACAATAAACAATAGTAACGGAGCTAATAAAACAAATCCGAGCTCTCTACGATGTCTGGTTGCAAAGTTTTTATGCTTGCCCGAACGAACGAACGAACGAACAAAGTGTATTATTGAGCTCCCTTTTCGAAAACAAGTTTTCAAAAATGCGCTAAAAACCGAAATCTAAAATTTCGACTACCCCATCTGATTTTTGTTCATACTCTTTACTGTGGAAACCAAAAAGCAAATTCTTTATCTTAAAACACTTGACAAAATAGCGACATAATTCTGGATTAATTACTTTTTAATAATATTTTAACATTAACGAGAAAATGTGGTTCAAAAAAGTGTGAGCTATACTGGTTCATAGTGTTCCCAAGGGTGACGAAATTCAAACTAAGTGTTTTTGTAGCTTACATAATTATGACAAAAATTAGGTATAACTTTTAACTGTGTCGATATGGGTCTCGGCCGTACTTCACGCCCACCCTTCAAATTTATGCTGAGAAAATCTTGCTCTATCCATAAGACTTTTGATGGTACGGTGTGAATATATCCGCATTGGGTTTCTACCCGATATACTAGTTCAGCGTATGATTTTGTTAGCTTTTACTTCTTGGATGCAATTGTAGAGGAGGTATGTTATTGATGACTTAATCGATCGGATGCTGTGATGTCAAAAAAAAAATATCGAATCTGGGATATTGAGCTACCTGCATATGTATAGATGTGAATCTGTCACGGTATCCAGCAGTTTATTCAGAAAAAGTGAGTCAGGAGTTTTCGTCATAAAATTTATTTTAATTTTCCTTAGTTTACCTTTCCCATTTCTGAACTCATATTTCCAATGAATAAATTAACAGTTTTAAATTCTTCATCTATGAACAACAGTGCACAATATACTTTATAAGAGCCTATGTAGGAGCTTAAATGAGAATATTTTTCATTTGTTAACGATAAGAAAGAAATGAAAGCAATTTAAAGTTTCGAGTTGATGAGTGAAAAGCTTTGAAAAATCATTCCTGAAAAGGTCAAACTTCTTCCTTCATGACCTTTACGAAAACATAGAGCACATAATCTTCGGAAGTAGATTTGTAGCATTAAGGAAGTTTTAGTGTTTTAAGTCCTTATCAGTCCTTATCCAAACAAATGTTCATATTTGGAAATTTTTGTGTAGCTTTATGTGAACTCAACTCTACCTTGATTCTAAATTTATCTGTTGCTCTGCATGCTGCATTTTAATCTCAATGTCAGATGTCAATTTTCAACATTTTTCACCATTAAGAACAGTCTGCATCTAAAAAAATCAATTGTTTTTACATTTGATACTGAAAAGACGCCTGAAGAGTTTTATTTTGAACACTTGGATTTCTCGTCTAGTCTGGGGATATGCTGGCACGGGATGTTCACTAATCATGTCTGGTATTAAAAAAATTAACTGTTGTCTCGGTAGCTTTATGAAATAATTAAAATCTTTAAAAAGTTACAGACATTTGGTGCTGAGATGGGGGAGTAGTAAGTTAAAAAGTCTCTCATTTTTGTTTGACGTTACTTATGAATGAACCCTCTAGACTGTTATCAATAGCTTCATTTCAATGCATCAAAACAGACATTTTCCACAAATCTCTCATCTGCATCCAGTTACAAAACTTCCAGCTTAATAAATAAAATTTTCGGAATCTGAAATGAATATCCAGGTATAATTGCCTACTGTGGCTTTACCTCAACATTCATTTCATTCCCAAACATTGTATAAGCAACCAACACAAACACAATCAATGTAAATATGAGATTTGGTCTATTCGAAAAGTTATTGGATCTGTTATTCCTTTCTAGTGCTTGAACATGACAGAAATTTTCTCGCTCCAGCAAACGAATGTGTATATTAAATACCATTTAGCAACCATAAATCTTAATATTTCATTTCAATTAATCCTCTTCACATGACTTGCTGTTAATTGATCTAAATATTTCCTTCATTTCATAATATGACGTTTACTCTCCGTTTCTCGCTTGTCCTTCCGATAATTTTCTCTTTCGAAGGATATATGGATGTGAAAGAGAGTGATTTTAGATTGATATATTATATGAATGCTATATGCTACACATATTTTTTTGGCAAATTGAAAACGAAAACCCACTTTAGTCATGTTCATTGAGAAACATCTAACGAGAAGCGATGCGAAAAAGGTTCATAGTGTTCTGCTTCAGATAGATGTTAAGCAATAAAAAAGAAACTGAAACACCTGTCTGAAATTGGAACAAGCCTTGTTAGATTTATGAGTATTGTCGAGTGGCTCAATATTGTTGGACATGGGTGATGAATTTCTTAAATGCTACAACATGAAACACATAATGTATAATTTCGCATTTTCTTCGTAGAGATCAAATTTCATGAAGGAGGCATTGATAAGGAAACAAAATGGTGCTGGTGAGGAGTTGGATATTCGTTTGCTGACAACAACGCATCTTTCTACTCAAAGGATTAACATGTTTGGTAAATATGGAGGTTATGTCTTCAATCTCGTGTTAAATTTTTATCACAATTGCCTCACTTTGATCTTTCTTCTTCGTCTATAATTTTGACACTGCCACAGTAAGGTTTTTTTTGGACCTGGGCTAATTTAGAAAATGCTCTAACCTTGTAATGACATTAATATCGATATATTTAATATACTGCCAGAACTTACAGCAGCAAAACATTAAATTGACTGTTTAAATTGGTTTTTAGACCCCCTGTCTATGCTACTGGGTAAGGAACCTAATCGACAGGTACTCAGACTAACGTTTTGTAATCGAGACAATTTGTAAACGAAAGCATCATTTTCCCAACAGAATAATGTGTTAAAAAGCTTAATAATAAATTGTATATGAGACATGGGTGAGAAATTAGTCTTCCTTCCTTCACTCATGTTGCCATTAAATTTTATCTTAACAACCTTTCGATTCCGATAAGATATTAAATTATCTCGTTTCATTTATTAATTAAATATTTGAAAAATTATACATCTACATTGTATAAAGATGGGTTTTAAAATGGATGTATCATTTTCCTCTTCCTTGTCTAAAACTCAAAACAGAAGTTAATTTGAAAACTTTTCAATGATTTCTCGTTGCTTAATAAATAAAGTTCAAAAGCTCATTGGGATTGAAATAATAAACATAATGCTATAGACAAAGTTTTTTTGCAATCAAATGTAGGTATTATGGAGTATTCATATTCACAGAACTAATAAACCTTATGAAAAGTTTTTCAAACCAACAGATACTGCAAGTTTTCGATAAATATAGTGATGATTAAAATTATCATGAATTTCAAACTATAAATCGGTGAATTCATTTGAATTTGCTGTAAAATGAAGCGTCTCTACATTATTTAGAGTGCAATTGTTGGAAATGGATTTGCTTTTCATTATTTTAATGCCAAATAGATTTTATAATGGATTTTAGAGAACAATTAACTTTTTATTGATTTGTTTACTGAATGTTCATTTTATGGCGCGAAAATTCATCAATTTAATGCTTTTCCAATTAAAAGGGGGAGAGAATTTAGGAATGGGAAACAATCACATAATAAAAAGATAATGTAATAGTTTTACCGTCTCTGCTACAAATCTTACTGTCCTAATTGGACACTAGATTTCTAGTAAAAGAACATGAGTTCTTCGATTTTTGTAAATAAAATAAAAGAAAAATTGTCTAAAGATGTCCAAAAATAGCAAAGAAGACATAAAACGTCCATGAAATCGTTAACAATTATCAGGTGATCATCAGGTCGAAGTAAGTAACCCAATACATTTTACCTTTTTATTCAATCTACAGAAAATTAAATTTTTTAAAAGGGAATTTATATAATCCTTCTCACATATATGCAAATTGCTTAGCAAGAAGGAAAACAACATTTCTTTTTTAGAAAAGACCCTTTCGATATTTTTCTTTCTGTTATCCTCATAAGTATACACAAGTTTATCTGCATAAATTCATATATGAATACACACAAAAAAGATAATTTGCAATTTTTTATTCTGGATTGGTACACTTTATACAATCTTCCATTTCCTTCTCATACACTTCAATTTGCAAAGTTGTTTCAAAGAAATCATATTTTGCATGAATTTTCATCGTGGCCTCTCGTAGAACCGTCTCGGTATTTGTTCCTTCATCTGAAATGAAATGTTTTTAGGATGCTTTTTTCTTGTTTTTGCTTCTCGTTCTTTCTCTATCTAACTCTACCCCCTCCCTTAAAGCCCATAATCATGATGAGTCTGAATATGTTTATGTAAGAATGAATGAATAGAAATCCTTTTTTTATGGCAACATATCTAGTATCAATCAATGATATATAAGTTAGCGTATATGCCAAAGTTCTTGCCACTCATCCACCCTATTTCATTCTATTTTACTTCTTCTTCTTTTCTGCTTACATTTTATGGATTACAGTTCTCGTTTTCAATTTGCAGCAGGATTGGAGTAAGCGTTATTACTGGGGGGTTCTCGAATTAAGTAGGTGTTTTGTTTCATAAAAATTAAAATCGAATCTATTGAAATCGAGGATCCCCTAGTAAAGAAGTATGATAGTTTGGAAGGTTGCAGTCTCATGAACGTAAAATAGGCTTATTTTAAGCAACTTTTTAAGAATTTTTCAGTAACATGAGCATAACTTAGGGGAGGGCTGTCAAATCGCTGGAAACAGAAAATCTTACAAAAAAGTTTAATTCCCCCACGCTCAATAGAATTTGACTAAATCGCTGATTAAGAAGCTTTTAACCTAGTTTTAATTTAGACCCTAAATTCACCCTCTTTGTCAAAAGTTAATCAAAGGCATAAAAAACGAGATGATTACCATATAACAGTGTTGGTTAACCTGTGTGCCGCGACACACCTTTGTATTGTTGAAGATGCGAACGTGTGATTTTTTTTATTTTTACAGCCTTAAAATATTATTGTCTAAAATTGACAAATATTTCTTGCCGAGGCACAAAAAAAGTTGTACACCACTACCAGACAGTAATTAACGAAAGAAAGATCAAAAAATCCTGAATGGTTACAAAATGATACAAAATTCAACTGCTACAAGTTTCAGTTTCTTGCAGCCCCTCATTACATCCCTATTCTCACTCTATTCCTTTCCATTCTTTTCTTTTTTCCCACTTATAAGTTTCAACAAAATTTACATAAAGATTTGGCCAAGACAGAAAGCGAAGAGAAAAAAAATTCCTCTTGTGAGTCGAAAGGAGTGGAAATAGTTTTTTTTACTCGATTCTATCTCCACTGAAAAGAAATGTATAGCACCCTCCCTTCTTTGCCGAAAGCACTTATGTCTTTTGTGTATGAAAAATAGACGAGATAATTTTTTTTTAAAAAAAAAATTCACGAAATCAAATTCAAAGTATGATAACAATATTAGCATGAAATCCCAAAACGCTTTGAATGAGATGAGAAATAGCAAGCACATGACATACAAGTATTGCGATAAAAGGAGATGTCAAAACAATGCTGAGAATGAATTGTGAATGTTAAAAAGAACGAAACTATTCTGTGTATGCACGTTCTATTGTTCGATTTAAGATTATAGTCAAACTATAGGATTATCTGACTGCATTTCTCTTCTTTGAATTCTCTTTTTTTCCTCTAAGGCTGATGCACTTATGCACAATTATTTGAACTTTTCAATGTAATTAACCCAGAAAAAAATCAACTTCATTAGAAATTTAAACTTTTGTTTTCAGACTCAAACATGTCAAGCAGCTTGTTTTGTATGTTTTACAAATTTTTTAAACATTTGACCAAGTCTCACACTTCAAAGTTGGTTATAACCAGTGTTACGCCACCTTATTCTCGAAAAACTTCGAAATTAATGTCGAAAACTTCGAAATTTAATTGTCGGTTATATAAAATGTAAACAAAGGAAAAATTTGAAATCAAAATCAATGATTTTAGCAGAGGTCGAAGCGAGTTTTTAGCGAGTTCGCTTCGCTAAAAATTCAACTTGCTAAAGTCGACCTGTAGCGAGAAATTTTTTTTTTTCTTTTCGCCTTAGCGACCTATAGCGAACTCAATTTTATTTTTTTCGCTTTAGCGAACTATTAGCGAACTTAATTTTTCAAAGTTCGCTATAGCGAACTATTGGCGAACTAGAAAAAATTTTTTGGCTTCATGTAAAGAGATGTCTGATTGCGTTTGTGAAGTATGTAATTTCATACAAAATTGCAAAAAATTATAGTTCGCCAATAGTTCGCTATAGCGAACTTTGAAAAATTAAGTTCGCTAATAGTTCGCTATAGCGAAAAAAATAAAATTGAGTTCGCTATGGTTCGCTAAGGCGAATAGAAAAAAATTTTTCTCGCTACAGTTCGACTTTGGCAAGTTGAATTTTTAGCGAAGCGAACTTGGCGAACCAACTTGGCGAACCAACTTGGCGAACCAAGTTCGCTTCGACCTCTGGATTTTAGCTACTATTAATCATGTTTTGTCCTAATCAACATAATCTTTTTAATGTTTTATCACTTTTAAATAGTTTACACCACAACAATGAGCTTAAATAAGCAATTTATATAGGAAATTATAATTTATGAATTCATTTACTAACACATTTACATGTTTTGTTTACTTTTGATATTTTTGTCGTGAAATTGTTTAAATTACAAATTTTTTCTTTTATCTAAACATTTTCAGCTCAAAAACATTTGAAAAATCTAAAAGATAATTAACTTCAATGAACCAAATAGTTTAAAGCTTTGAAATAAGTAAAATTAAAGCCAAAAACCATTTCTACGTCGCATCTTAAATTTTACCAAATCAAGCCCTTCAGCGATTTCATTATCTGAGAAATTTTATTTATAGTCCAGATAAGAATAAAATTGAAAGTTATTATGACGCTATTAAGTATGAATCAGATAATTAAGTAATTACAAAACCCAGACATTTTATCAAAATGTCTAGAAAAATAAAATTTTAGCCTTGATAACCTTCTCTTCTAGTTCAATACCGAGAATAGTAGAATTTTTAAGTGAAACCCTTTTTGAGAAACACTTTCATATCCAAAGTGAATTTAAATGTATTTGAAATCAACTGATTCTTATCGCTGACCCCCCATCTGGTTTTATTATTCTTAAAAAATTATTTTACAAAAGCTGACTAGTGCATCAGCCTTGATATTTTGCATAATAATTTTCTTTTCGACTCTTCTTTTTTAAACAATACGAGATTGGCTTCTTTTATATTATTAGCGTAAGATAAACTTTTTGAGAGAGTAAGAAAGAAAGAAGAAGAAAAAAAAGCAAAAGTCATGAATGAAAATGAAATACTTACCAACTGCAAGATGAGCTGCGAGAGCAACCTTATTAACACTTAATGCCTTGAGATATCAGGAGAAAGATTAAATTTTAAAGAAAATTGTTAATCAGTAATAATTGCATTATTTCTCACCCAAATTCTGAGGTTATGTACACGTACAACGCCATTAATATTCAAGAATGTTCTCATTATTTCTGTATAATCCAAATATTCGGGTATGCCTTCCATTAAAACCTAATTGAGGAAAGAAATGTTTAGAATTAAGAATACATTATTATTATGTTTCCTTTTTTTCTTTTGGTATTTCTGAGCTTCATCCCTTCCATGAAAAATCACTTTAGAAAACGTTAAGGCAAGACCGAGAGCAAAACAAAATTCAAGCACTGAACTGCGTTTTCCTCCAAATCAGAGGGAAAAATACTTAATGGAAAATGCTTTTCAAATTATATCAATTGAAAACTTTTGGGAGCTCCTCTTTTCGAAATGAAGCAGCAATAGCAAGCACGAAAAGAAAAGAGAGAAAATGTACATATTTTTTCCAAGGTAAAGGAAGAAGAGTTCAGTGGATGAAAAATTGAGGGTAGTGATATGAATCTGCTTCGCTACTTACCAATAAGGCATCCTTCATGATATTCAATGTTGTAAAGAGAACAAGAACCGAAAACAAAAATGTACAAATTGGATCAATAATGCTCCATTCTGGCTTAAAGAATATAACCAAGGATGCTATGAAAACGCCACACGATTGAACAAAGTCACTAACAACATGTATAAATGCTGCTCGAACATTGAGATTTTCTGGTAAGTGACCCATTTCGGCATCCAAATCATCAGATTTATCATGACTATGACTGTGACTATGATTGTGATTTCCATGGCTATGTCCGTGATCATGTAATGTACATCCCATACTGGAAGAGGAAGAAAAAGAAGAAATAATGTTAATCTTTTCAATTTTCAGTGTATTAATGGACTAAGGGGGATAACAATTCTTGGGGCAATTCGATAAATTGTTCAAAAATTACCTAATTGTTACACACATTTTTCGAAAGATTTCCCAAAACATATTGTGTCCCCCCTCAGTGTTGATTCCCCCCTTTTCCAAAATTATGTAGCTAGTTTTGAATGGAGAGGGGGAGAAAGGGGGTGTCAAAGTAAGAGAGTTTTAAAAACTAAAGAGGTTTATTGTAATCCTCTCTTTTTACGAACTCAGGCTTCGTTTATAAATGATATCTAATGAATGACACCGTAGAACTTATAGATTAACAATTTTGTTAAAGCCCCCCCCCCCCTTTGTCCCACCTAAACTATGAAAACATCCGTCTGTACACAGCAAAAAAAAGAACAAAAAACAGAACAGACAGAGAAAGGAAAATACTTTAATTTTAATTTGATATGGGAATAAGGGAATAAGACTGAACTTAATTCAAGTTAAATGTTGATATAACTTCATTTGTATACTTACATAATATTGACTAAAATGCCAAAGCCAGAGCTGATTAACATTATTACACTATTTATCTCAAAGTCGTGATGAATTGTCCTTAAAACAGCCATATACACAAGTACAGCTGTAACTATCCATATCATTAGTACAGATGTAAGCGCTCCAATTACTTCCGCTCGATGAAAGCCAAAGGACATTCTATATCCATGTATAAATTGTGTACATATGTAACGAGATTCGATGGGTAGAAGCGGAAGCAGCAAAACGAAGATACGCGTGTCCAATGTAAGCATAAACGAGAAGAATAAAGAGAAAAAAAGCTAGGATTAATTTCTTTTATCATTATTATTTTATTCCTTGTTAGCGTTATTCATAGAATGAAAATAATCCAAATGGAGATAAAGCATTTGTTAACAAGATGTCTACAAATCTACAAAGCGTGCCCTCAAAATATATAAACAGGATATGCATCAACTCATTTCTTAAATTGTGAAACAAACAGAATTACTGACGAATTAAAAGAAAAATGCTTTACGGAATTTCCTTATTATATTAAACTTTATGTACGGGAGGTCTAGTAAGTAACTTAGGGCAACAATATAAAGAGCTTTAAATTAAATGATGATGAAAGCAATTATGTAATATGGAATATGGAAGTAGAAGATAGAAAGAAATTAAGGAAATTTATGAAATGTAGACATGATTCGTACTCAAAAAAATATATATAATTGGAATCATCTGAAGCTACCATCCCTCCTTTTTTTTCATAATATGATTATGGCCCCTTGTTTTGTTTCATGAATAAAACTTTTGCATTATCATTCCTTACAACAAGATATTAAAAATATGATGAAGAAATGATGACAAATCTATTAAATTATAATAGGATCGGTCAGGAACTTGTTGGAATTCAGCATCAACTTGATATTTCTGGAAAGTTCTCTAGAAAAGGCTTATAGTTTTAAAAAGTATTATGGCTAATACAACTGAATGGCAAGAAAATGTAGAAAATATATTCATAAAAAAATTGAATAAGGATCAGCCATTAACAGCCAAACTTGTCATTAAGTAAGAAATTGATGTGAATTCCACTGACTTAATGATTTTTTCCAAAGATACTCAATAATCCTAAGATTAATTCTAATTCCTCCAAATTAATCTCATATAAATTAATCATGTAATCCTAGAAAGCATACAAAGGACCAAAACTATATAATTTATCTATCATTCCACGCCGTTTCACTTACAAAACTCAAATTGCTCTGTCCATCAATCTCAAAATGAATGATACGTGCGTACGAGATCAAAAAGTCTACCAAAAATTCTCAAAAGTACATTTCTCATTAATTTAATTTTCTTCTTTTGTTTAAGTCAGCAAAATGAAAAGTTGGAATATGAAGCTTTAAAATATCTATGCTATGTTGTATAGAGCCTGTGTTGCTCTTTAATACAATAAACAATCCCATTAAGGATGTTCTCTCGGTAATACAAAATGATAATAATAATAATAATGATCCAAGAATGTGAAAATTTTAAAATATTCCAACTAGTGCGCTTCGCAAAAAAAGCCACAACATATATTTTGCAAATTACATTCCAATCTGTAACAGCATACTCGAAATATGTACATACACGATACACTAATGTTTTTAATGCATGCAAAAAGTACGGAACCTCGATATGATATTTTGTACCCACCTCTTTGTAGACTTTCTATTTGCTATGTAAAGTGCCAGCAGAGATATCATAAAGCTTGCTAAATCGGCTAATAAGTGCGCTGCATCCGTGGCTATTTTTCCCCATCCGAACATATGGCAGGTTGGTAGTAATAAACGATTTATAATCATGATGCAGAGAAAATGGAAACAACAAAAATGAGAAAATTCAAATGTTAATTTTCACACACGTTTTCTGACCAGCAAACAAATTATTTCACATTGGTACGGATGGATTAAGTGAAGGTGAGGCCTTTTTCACAATACACTAATTTTTATTGCGATTATGTTACGCTCATTTTCATAATATTCGTGACAGATTTCATTTTCAACGTTTAAGTCTGATTGAACTTGTTTTTTCTTTGAGAGCTGGGGTAGATGGACTATTTTTAACTATAGCATGGTGACTAGAAGCTTTGTTAATATTAAGAAATTTAATAATCCTTGCAGTTGAAAAGGTTCTTTTTAATCTTAAGTATAAGGATAGCTGATTTTTAAGTAAGGCATTCATAAAACATGACTATGCAGTGCTTATACAGTGCGTATGATTCGCTTAGCCGCACACAGTTTTTTGCTTTTTTCTTTCTAATATGCAACTTATAAAAATTCAATTATACTGTCAAATATTCTTCATTTAATACGTAATCAAGTAAGTTTAAAATAATATTTTTTAAAAAAAAAAGTAGAAAAGAGAAAAATGAAAAAATAACGAAAGTTTGGATTTTGAAAGTATGATTCGTTTAGCCGCACTAAGGAAAAAAAATTTTTATCTGCCCAAAAACGATGAATTAGTATTTTGTTTCGTGTCCATTCTTACGTATAAGTTCAATTGGACGATTTTGCATGGAATTGACTAAAGTTTCTAATATCTGTGTTGATAAATTTCGCTAGTAATTACAGACTTCAACTTCAAGCTCTTGAATGGATGAAAATTTACGACCTCGACTATATACTCGACGGGCAAGTATTCCTCATAGATTCTCTGTTGGGTTTATGTCAGTTGATCTGCTTGGCCAGTCGAGAACAACGATATTTTTGTTACTAAACCATTCCATAGTCTTTTTACTTTTATGAATTGAAGCATTATCTTGGACAAAAATGAAGTCCGTAAATGGAATCAAAACATCGTCCATGAGCTGAATATAGTTGTCTGAGTTCATCCGAGTAGTAACTTTTGCAATCGGGGTCTTACCATGCATTGAGAATGCTGCCCAAACTATTAAAGTGCCACCACCAAAATTTCTAGAGTAGTTAAATTGCTTTTCGTTTCTTAAATCGTGCTAGTAGTAATGAAATCCATCAGGTCCATCAAGATTAAATTTTTTCTCATCTAAAAAGACCACATTTGTCGTATGAACGTATATTTTTGCACAATTAAATCGTTCTACATATGCTCAGGATTCCACATAGGTTTTTTCATCTTCTTGACATATTTAAAGCGGCCAGAGTCTCGCAATATTTTACAAACTTGAGTTTTCTTAATAGGCAGATCTAATTCACGTATGATATCGCTAGAAAAGTAGTTTTCCGTAGAAGCAATTTGAATTGCACGATTTTTGTCACGATTTGTAATTTTTGTATTGCCCTTTGTCTTCTTCTCCTTGCCATAATCTTTGCCTTTTGCTAAATAATTTCTTACTACTTTTTCGTCTCTATTAATTCGTTTCGCAATATCCCGATTGGACAGCTCAATCGATTTTAATTGATCAATTACAGCCTTTTCAGTCTCATTTAAGTATTTTCCTTTTGGCATGATTAAATTTTTGTTTTTTAATCAGTAATCTAATGAATTAATAGCGTTACTTTATAGATAATAATCTATTTAATTAAAATTACTTACAAATTAAATTTATTTGTTTACAATATCAACTGAAAATATTTTTTTTTCCTTAGTGCGGCTAAACGAATCATACTTTCAAAATCCAAATTTTTGTTATTTTTTCATTTTTTTTCTTTTCTACTTTTTTTTAAAAATATTATTTAAAGTTTACTTGATTACGTAATAAATGAAGAATATTTGACAGTATAATTGAATTTTTATAAGTTGCATATTACAAAGAAAAAAGTAAAAAACTGTATGCGGCTAAACGAATCATACGAACTGTAGGAGTAGCTAAAGCAGTCTACAGTATCTGAAACCTCTTCGAAGTGAAAGTTTTTAAGGGATATAGATTAGATCCTCTTTAAAAGTGAACTCCCTTAATAACAAACATCAAAAAACTAGATCTGTTGTTGATAATACAAGACTCATGAAACATAGAACTAGCAACGACATGACAGCTCTACTGATACCGATTTCTAAAGCTACCTAAGGCACCCTACTCTAGTATCAGATTATTTTTATATACAGCCGGATAGCATAAGTCGGCTAATGGATTTAAGTCCAGGATCTCTGATCGATTAACCGACTTGTGCTTTTTAGGATAGGGCATAGACTTTCTAAAAATAAAGGTAAATTCGGAACATCCCGAGCTTTTCCTAATAAAACCCTGAAGCGTTTTATAATATGCAATTAACTGCCATACTTCCTGTGAATAAACAACTTGTTTGCTGGGATTATAATTTCATAAAAATTAGATCTCCATTGAGAATGCTCTCGTTCTCGTATTGAATATGAATGTATACATACCAATTGCTAAACTATTTGATAATAAACCACCTGAAATTGCATACAGAAAATATAAAGCATGTAATTAAGATAGATAAAATTTATAATTAGAGCTAAACAAAACAAAACAAAGACCAAAACTCACCAACTATTTCAACAATCATGAATACTACACACAGGATGCTTGCTATAATTAATTTCTTCCTACATATCAGGCAAGAAAAAAAATATATGAAAAGTATGAAAAATGGATTAGGGGATGATAAAGGCATGGTGGAGAAAAATATGATTGCATTTACAAAAAAAAAAAAAAAATAATACAAAGCAAAGTCTTACCGAGCTTTTTTATCAATTCCTTCCACTCGTTGGTTTCTACGATGAGCACGATGGCAATGAGCTGAAAATTACACAACACAAGTAAAATTTTTCATTTTCCCTTCCTCATTTCAATCTCTTTTTTCCCTTCTTCCTTGTCTAATGATCCCCTGTCATTTATAAACTGTTGTGCTGCTCATCGCAACAATGAGCTTATTGCGTATATGAGAATGAAAGTTATTATGTTGATGAAAGAAAAATTTAACTATGAAACAAAACCTATTTAGCTGGGAAGAACAGCGCACATGATACACACAGAAAATAAGACTTATCGCCACATAAACATATTAACTTTTTCCCCGCAATTCAGCTTTTCCCTTCTCGTACTTTTTTCGTGTGTTTATTTATACATTTCTTTTTTTAAGGCACAACTTTATTTTTTGTAGCTATTGCTATTGTAAGACACACGAAAAAAAATAATGAGAGGGAAAGTGCCATAGACCTTTCTTATGAGGAAACAAAAAAATTAATAAAAATTTTTTGAGGTTTTTCTCACTCTAGATTTGTGAGTGCTTGAAGCGCTTCCGTTTGTTTTATTGAGTTTTGGATTTGAAAAGGTTCTTGGAAAGATTTAAAATTGCACGGTTATTCAAAATTTAAAAATCTTATATCTTCAGTGGATTCAAAAGATTAGAATTTGATAAAAATAACAAAATTTAAATTTACCGAGATTGAATTATAAATTTCAAAAATTACAAAATTTAACGAACTTGCAATTTCAAAATAATCTGAAATGAACAAACTTTTGAGTTGAAATGAACAAACTTTTGAGTTGAAATGAATCAAACTGAACTGAAATGAACGAACTTTCAATCTCAAGTGAATCAAATTGAACTGAAATGAACGAACTTTCAATTTCAAATGAATCAAATTGAACTGAAACAAACGAGCTTTTGAGTTAAAATTGAAATAGATTGAGTTCAAATGAACTGACATGAGTTCAACTTTCAAACTGAACTGAAGCTTTTTCTGAACAAATAAATTAATTCTAATTAATCAAAATTAAAATCTTACAAAATTGAAATAAGCTTTTAATATCCATATATTAAATATTTTAACCTTTCATGACATTTTTTCCTTTTAAAAAAGGAAATAAAATTCTTGAAATTCATTGCTGACAATTCACCCTGCCATAACATCTGGAACATCACATGCTTATCTCAAATCCCAGTTAAAAGCTGTGTATATCACATAATGTGCAGGCAGGAAAGAAGAAAATAATTTTTCATCAAAAAAGGAAATTCTAAATTTTATTTTATTCCTTCTCATCCGTGATATTTAGGCATTTCGAATGTAATAAATTTATTTCAGATATTAACCCACAAATAATAAATGTTCAAGTGAATTGTTTGATGCTACATCGAGCAAGTAGAAAGAGCTTTTTTGCCTCTCTCATTATATTTCTCATTTTTTTTTTTTTCTCGAAGCTTAAAGGCATAAAAGTCATCAAAAGAGAAATGAAGCGATAGAAGAAAGACTAAGACTTTAAATTGAAAAATAAAGCTTCAAGAGGCAATGTGAAATCAATTTTTCGAAACAATGGCAAGGAAATACTATAAAAATAAATAAAGTTAATAATAAATTGGTGAATTTGTTTTCAGTATTTTTTCTTCATTTTCCCAGACTACCGCCATTTCGTTTCGGACTTCTTCGAAATTAATTTCGATTTCTTCGATATTAGAGCCGAAAATTCAAATTTCAAAAACCAGTTACATTATGTAAACAATAAATTATTTTAATTAATACCAATTCTGCACAAATCCCAAAGTTCTTCATAAATTATTAATTTCATATTTTTTTTTTATCTATTCTCAACTTTATTAACAATAAAATTTGAGCAAAATGAGTAAGTGCATGTTGAAATCTGGTTTAACCGTCAAAAATTTTTGAATATTATAACGGTCATAAAAATATTGAATTTTTTTGAATACAAATTTAACGGATGTTATATGAAATGACGGTAGTCTGCATTTTCCATCCGATGAAAATTGCTATTTTCTTTATATTTTTTTATTGCCTGAAAAGCATTTTTACGGACTTGCTAGCTTGTTTGCCTCACTTTATTATGAAACTTATTTTATTTCATTGCTCTGAGGGACGTGTAAAAGGGGAGGGGGGGCTTAAAATTATAAACTTGCTTGAACTCGCTTTTTGGGATGTCTACAATTTTGTAACAGTTTAAGCCACAATGGACTCGTGTCACATGGGGAGGGGGTTAAAAATCTAGTTACGTAAATAATAAGCAATCCCTAAGTATTATTCTCATTTTGGCAAGCTTTTTAAAAATGGATATTATTGTAGGTCAAAGGCAAGAATTTTTCAAGCATTTTCCTTCAAGATTTTCTTAATTTTCTTATTTTTTAAGCAGAAAGCTTTGTCGAATTCAAATTTTAAAGTATTTCTTACTTCTTATTTCTTGTTTGTGCTTGTTCGGAATACATCAACATAAATTAAATTGACTGAGGAGCATCATTTTGATCAAGAGAAGAATTTGGAATGTCTATAAATAGTATGTACTCACCGTCTTTGATTGTTTTGAATTTCAATGAATCTGATTCACAACAATCACTCGCGAGTTTTCCGTGTAAGCAATATGTAACAGATGCTGTCTTCCTTTCTTTATTACTGCTTGACCCGGCTGTTGTTGAGCCATAATTCCTATCCATAAATTCATTGTCTTCCATTATATTTTCTCTGTTAAAATGAATTAATTTTTCAGTTTTCAGAAACAAGGTTCACTATGGTTTATTTTATAATCAGCTTCAAATTGATTTTCATGAATTAAAGAACTGAAAACAATAACGCCTTTTCAAGATTTAAATCTTTTGAATCGGTTCTACAAAACAGTTGAAATTCAAATCTTACAAAACCGTTAAATTTCCTTACAACAACTTTTCTAGGTTATGTTGACAGTAACATAAGCATAAATTAATTAAATTTATAGTAAATAAGACCTCAATTAACAAGAAAACACTTTGAAAGTAAAGATTAACAATGTATGCATCAGAAGAAGATGAAAATTATTGCGCTACTTGCAGCAATCCATCGAAATTATGCTGTTCTCGATGTAACATAGAATCATATTGTTCACAAAAATGTCAAATCAAAGATTTTCCCAATCATCGCTACATCTGCTTCCCGTTGCCGTAAGTACTTACTTATTATGAACACAAATGTTAGAAAAAAAAATCTATCAATCTTGTATGTTTACACAAATTATTAGTGATTTAATACCAATCGCAAAAGAACAAGCAACATCAACTAGTTCCACTGACAATGAAAAATTGGATGAACAGAATGAGATTCAATTGGAAGGCGAAGGGACGAAGAATCAATTGGAAACAACTGAACCCGAGAAGGAAAATGATGTATTAGAACAACAAAGTGACATGATTAAATATGACAGCAATTTTAGACGTGATGATACAATCATCGGAACTATATCCCGTACAAGTTCAGTCTATGAGGATGACATTTCTGATGATGGAGTGGCTGATACTATTAAGCAAATACAGCATTCATTCGAGTCCATTGAAAACTTGAAGAATTTACGAATTACAGATAAATTGGCAGAAATCGACGAAGTTCCGAAGATAAAACAGGTAGTTCCTTTAAAGAAGGCATGCCATGAAATAATAGCATCTAAATCTGACAAATTCTTCACGATGAATGATTTAAAGATCCACGAATGGCCGAAATCAAAGAATATTAAAGTCAAATTACAGACTATTGTTCAGCACCCGAACGTTATGGCATTTGTTGAGGATAAGAAAGTAATTGAGCACTTCTATGAGTTCATGGATAGCGAGATTAAGAAGTATAGACCATGTATATCTGAAGATTATCATAAATACTTGCCAAAGTAAGTGCCAATACGAATAATTTTGATAAGATTAAGGCAGAGCTCGAAGATAGTCAATTGAAGTTGGCTTGACTTAAAACACAACTAGCTATGAGCCGACTTCAAATGACTACCTTCGAGCTCTGAAACGATTAAGGTTAAAAAAGAATTATTTACAGAACAAACGAAATCGTATTGGGTCATTTCAATGGATTTTGGTATCGAGCTGTTGTCCTAGATTCAGATCCGAAGGGAATCATTGTTTTGTTCATCGACTACGGAAATATGGATCTTTTATTAACGGATGAGATTCTTCCAATATCCAATGAATATTTTATCGATAAACTATCATTTGAAGTCTGTTCCCGACAATTTATTGTTGACAGTAAGCCTGAACAGTATTCATATTAATTATTCAAGCAATAAAATGACAAAAAATTCTCTCTAGATATTCCGGCTGAACTCGACGAGAAGCAACAAGAAATATTAGACTCAAAATCAATGATGATAACTAATATTCGGGTCGATGACAAAGGCTTGACGCACTGCGAAATCTTTGGATTCTGAATCATCATTTAGATTACTTTAAGCATTAATAGTTTTCGTAGAAATCTCCATAAAGAAGATGTGAGAGAGTTCAAGAGAAGAACACGAGATAACAAAAAAATTACCAAATTATCACCAAACAATTGATTTTCACGTAAAGTATATCCATTAAAATTTATCACCGTTAGTTTATTCCATTAATTAGTACTTACAATAGCAAATCTGTATCCATTCTGCTTAATTTCTCTCTATTTTGATCCAAAAAAAATACTAGAGAGAGTAAATAAATATACACAACTGATTCACAAATTTAACTCATATAAACTGATGAGTTGTACTGTAAAATAGTATTGCTTCTATCTGTAATGTTCCGTTAATACAGTAACAACTTGAGTGATAAGAAAAATCAGAAATGAATAAGAATTTTTGATTCGAATACGTCAAAACAATGTTACTTTAGAAACTTATCTTACTGTTAGACAGGTCATGATTGTTATGGAATCTTCTTAAGAGTACTAGATTGACAACTTCCAGGTACTTTTTAATTAATGTTGTTTTTGGATTTCATTCACAAAACTTTATTGAATTAATTTATTAATTGCACATTATCTAGATTATTTTTAGTCAATTTTCACATTTGAATAGATTTTCCTTACAAAATAAGTAGTACCAATATATCCTACAGTTCCACATATCATGCCTAGCGCTCCACTAAACATTGCCATATATCCGAAATAAAAGACAGTTTGAAACAGCCCGTACATTCTGTGGATTAAAAGAAGGCACACATCATTAGTGACTTATCTCAAGACATTAACTCATGAACTTACTTGGTTTTGAAAAAGAAATAATAGAAGGCATAAATATATACATAAATGGACGTAGAAGCTCCTGACAGAAATGCAGTCCATTGCCACCTATAATCTTCGGCATTAAGAAGGAAATATGTACACACGATTGTTACACAAACAGTAACGATGATTAGAATGAGGAACACGAGAAGCATGAATCCATAGACGTAGTAGATTTTGTAAGCCCAAAATGATGTGAAAATGAAGTACCTAGAATTATAGATTGGATTAGATTAAAAACAAACAAATCCAAGGATTAAAATTTAAATCCATTAGATTAAGAATTTCTTACATTTCAATGAAAATTGAGCCAAAAGGTAGAATTCCACCTAATAATGTGATGACAACTGGTTCCATATACCATTTCTTCTCAGGAATTGGTCGTGGAACAGCATTAACTCGACATGGATGATCAGGCTGTCCACTTAAGTTTCGTCCAACAATCGTTCCAACCATTGTTAATGGTAAAATCACAAAAAGACAAATGCATGTTACAGCTAGCATAGTTCCAAAAGGAATTGCACGTGTTGCATGATAATAGATTGCAATGAAATTTATAAGGAATGCAGTGCCACAGATGCACATTGGTATAAGGAATGCTGATAAAAGCATTTGACGAATCCAAACTTTTCCACTCATTCTTGAATAAAGAGATCCACCAAAATATCCATTAATTGGTGATGTTGCAGCATATACAAATATCGCAGTCGATAACAACGATCCACGTCTATAAAATTGATAACATTTAATTAATTAATAGATAACTGTTTTAAGCTTGTATGACTTACTCAGTATACAGTTCGCCCATAATAGCGAAACAAATAACACAAAGTACGACACTAGTCAGTTGATATCCACAACCAATTAATGATGTGAATAATATTGGATATGATGAGGAACGAAAGACATCACCGTGAATATTTTTCCATCCATATTCATCGCCCAAGTCTCTTTCCATATCGTCCATTTCTTCATCCTTACTATATCGTGCATAATCTTTCCTTAATGTCCTTACTAAAATCATTGAAACAAGTCCTACAAGGAAAATGACCATCATAAAGCTATTAAAGATGCTAAACCAATGGATGCGATGTTGAAAGAAATTTGGATCAAGATATTTATCAAAGCGATCCTTAAACTCGACAGTAGATGGTCTCCAATTGACTTCATATGTAAATGAGATTTTAGCTCCAACATGAAGAAGCTGTTCATGCTCATTTGTTAAATTAACATCAATAATTTGTTTGCCATTATATCCAATATCAATTCGTTTGTGTGTATGTATGTAATATTTCTTTTCATGCTCTTTACCAACTGCTCCCCATATTGGCAGATCATCAATATACATCTGGAACCAATAATGATTCTTTACAGCATATACAAATGCCTTATATTTCTCTTCATCCAATTCAACCATACATGTGACAGTTCCTTTAGGTACACTATCTTTAAAATCAATTGAATATCCACTAAACTCTAATTCTACACCTAGCAGTGCTTCTGACATCGTCTCATGATAATGTGAGATACTTTGTTTACTGCCAACGCAAAAAGGCAATGAAAAATATCCATAAGTCTCTTGTCTATTATGAAATGGACCAACTGTATTCATCCACAGAACTACTTCTTCATGATCTTCATACTGTAAGATAATACATCAATTGATATAATTAATAATATTAAGTACAGCTCAGTGCTTTACATGCTTAATCATTACTTACAATATGATTATGCTCGTCGGCTCGAATTATATTTAAAATTGAAAGGATTACAGAGCAGAAAATGAATAGTTTATTGTGCATGATTATCTGTTGCTATCTTATCTTGACGTGTCCTTAATTAAAGTCGTCGGATATATCCGGATTATGCCTTAATTTCTTATTAATTTACTCTATTTGTTGACATGTCACTTTTATTATTTTCTTCTCGTTGCTCACTTTTAAGCAAATTTTTTTGAATTCTAAAGTGTCGTTAATTTTTGATTTAATTTCTACACGTTTCTCATGTTTTGCTTAATTAAAAGTCTACCATTTAAGTAAATTCTTTCTAATGATGCCTTAAAATTGATGACTTATTCTCCGACTAGATTACAGCTTTAAATAAAAAATTGGTCAACAGTCAAAAGTTATTTGAAATTTTACTCATTTTTTGCGATTCGCTGAAATTTAAATTCAAATTTTTGTGTAACGTATAAAAAAATCTGCTTTAATTAACTTCAATGCAGTACATGCAAAAAAAGCAAGAAGTCAAGGTTCATTGAAAATAAAATAATTTGTTTATTTCTCATAATTCACAATGTCTTCATTATACATAAACTTCACCATTCTTGCCATTGACTTTAGCAGGTCGCCTAGAAAGTGTAGAATTTGATGAATTGCTATTATTATCTACATTTGTGGTCGTATTCTCAGAATCTAATGACTGTTGTCTCTCGATTTTATTCTTTAGACCTGGTGAGGCAGTGACATCACCAAATAAATTCTCTAATCTTGGAGTAGTACCCCTCGATCTGATGGAATCTGTTTGATCAACAGGCAATTCTGTAATTACTGCAGTCGTTTGACTTGCTGTCGTTGTAATTGCTAGCGGAACATTATGGATGGGAATTAATTCATTTTCATTTTGTGTTATTGTTGTGGTTGTTGGAATCATCACAAAATTCTCAAGATCTTGATTAGAGTTTGTCGTCATGACAAGTGATCCAAATTGTGCATTTGTAGATGTTGTATTAAGTGGTAAAATTGATTTATTAGATGTCATTGCGGCTAAAGAGCCAGACGATAATGTGTTATTGACAGAATCAGATTCTTTAATAGGTGAAAGAAGTAAAGTTCCTAATATTGGAACTGAATTGTTTGATGATGGAAACATTGTGGGATTTGTTGCAAGTTGTGATGTTGCCATAGCAACACTAGATGAAATTGATGGTAATGTAAACGGATTATTATTAGATGTGCTATTAATGTTTATTCGACTGTCATTTTCTGGCGTTGGAACACGTTCTCGAACTCTTGGAACCATTTGCCCATTTAGTATATTTCCCTTAGAATCTATTATTAATTAAAATAGAAAGAAAATATCCAATAAAACATTGTCAGTAAGTTTAGGTATTAAAACTGTGTCAATCAGTGACCTTAAAAGTTATACTTAATTACGTTGTATATCTTTTAAAATATAAAAAGATACTTACTTTGTTTGAACAAATGTTTGTTTCTACCAGACTTTCGGCTCATCTTACTTGTTGGATGATGCATATGATGCGGCGTTAAGCCTGCTTCAGGACTTGAGTAGACTTCTCAATTGAGGAAAAAGTATTCAATAATTAAAGTAATTGTTAAGGAACAAAGGACAGTGAGAGTGATTCAAAAATGCCGCCAATTAGGAAACAATTGAATGACCTCTAAATCGGGATATGAGCCCTAAAATTCCCCCTTCCAATCACTCTTTCACTTAATCCAAAACGTCATAAATGGACAATATCCTTTTTAAAAGAATAAGAATACAACAACAAATTAAGCAACTTACCGGAGTTCAACCTGTTTCGATTGAAAATTCCACCAGATGAATAAGCAGTTGATGAGCTTCTCATTGATCCCATCCTCAGCATTTGTCGACTAAACCAATTCTTTCGTCGCTCAACCATTGGTGTATCTACACTCTCATAATCAGCATATACATCGTCATTGAGACTTCTCTTGTGTGGCATAATATTTGCATAAACAGCATCAGCTTCCTTGACCTTGTACGTCTCTGCTGAACCTTTTGGCTCGTGTCTTCGATAATGCTCTGATGCAACTGTATATGGAAGCTCTTTCGGTACAACTTCTTCCCAATATTGATCCTTTAACAACTCTGGATGTTCTTCATGCATCTCATCAACAATCATATATGAAGCCTTTCGAACGATAATAACAAAAATAAGTTTAAGACCTTGAATTTTTTTCATTACTTATTTACGAATTATTGTTTTCTTCACCTTTATATGACGATCAATCAGCCAATTCAATTCAATATCATCATCGTCTTCACCGAATGGATTTATAAGTACCTCAGCAACTTTAAGCCATCCGACGTAAAAACAAAACTTTATGAATAAAACATTATCTTAATTTAAAGAACTCGTTCGTATCATGTGACTGTGAATTTCATACAAACCTGAAGTGCTGTGAATAGTGGAAAATACAAGTCAGGGTCCTCGTATTTTTTACCGGCTGTTGTATCTGATGAAGGAACCATTTGTCGTCCCATTAAAGCAGCAATAAAATATGTATAAAGAACTAACGTTACGACTTGTGTATAAACAAGAGGAACCGACACTGTGTCATATCCTAAATATTGAAAAAGAAATCTTATTGTTAACAAGATGAATCAGTAAATTGACACCAATCATCATTATTACCTATAAGTGCACCCAGTCTTCTTCTTATATCAGATAATTCCATCTGACGATGAGATCAATTGTCATGTAGATTTAATCATTTAACAAAATATTATTCATCATCAATAACTCACCAATATCGTCTGTACAATATGATCTGACGTTATAAGCCCATCTTTTCTGGCACGATTAATAATATTTGTTGACCAGACTAATGGCATCCAATATCTATTAAAAGAGTCAATGTCAATATTTAGCAATTATCAATGGCTATTAGAATGTGTACGTGTTATTCTTACTTGGACATTGGACTTTTGGAATCCATAATTTCAAAAATTTTCTTCTCACTCTCGAGCATGAGACCGGAATCAACGAGATGCTGAAGTCCAGGAAAGCGTCGTTTTACACGCAATGAAATTCGCTGTAGGGTTATCACATATGCTAAGACCATATATCTCATTATATTTCGTCTCATTAATCTACCAAGCTCCTGCTACAATATTTTTGTTTGTTGAGTTAATGGAGTGTCCAATAGAGTGTTTCTAATCTTTCCATACAAATCTTTTGTCCATTACGGATCCTCTTGAATTTAATCATTTGAAGATAACTTCAGTTTCTTTAGATTTTGGACCAACTTGAGGTCATAACAAGTTTTATTTGTATGCATTCCAATTCAGTATTGAATTTCTTTGTATTAAAAGGCAATCAGTACTTAAAAACTAAGGAAATAACCATTAACCATAGAAATATAGCTTAGGATACTAAAACTTGCATAATTAAATCAAAACTCAATGAATTATTTCAATTCTTCGTAAATTTAACAAACATTTGTATGGAAAGATGTGTTGGTTCAATAGTTAAGCTTACATTCCCAGGAATAGCAGCACTGATAAATAAAGCTAGAGTATCAGGCCATGGTAATAATTTGTACTGCTCCCACCATCGTTTAACGACTAAGCTTACATAAAAGCCTAGTACAAAGGACATCGGAATAGATTCACTCTGTGCTCCAAAGTAAAGCCGCACTTTTTCGAAAACGCTATAATTTTTTTTTTGGTCGTATAATAATTAAATATTTAGAATTCAAGGAAAGAAAAATAGGTCAGTCATATATGAGTAAGAAAATGTGTAAAATTTTAACTGTTGATAGAAGCTGAAAATAGCATTGAATGATTTCTGTGCGATGAGAGAACCCAATAGATAAAAATGATAAAAGGTGGAAAAATAGAATTTTGATTTATCAAGTGACCCAAATTCATAAACTTAATTAAATTTTAGCATAATTTCGTGCAATTAAGTCTCATTATCCAATTTAGAACAATTAAAACTTGAAAATTATGATGAATTATGCAGAATGCTGATAAATGAAATTGCCTTACATAATAAAATAAAAGCATGATGGTATAATTTTAAAAGCATCAGAAATCGCTCAATTTATGGTATTTATGATATCACACACATAAACCACATTCACCCAAATCAATTTTATTGAAAAAAATTTATACAAGAAACAAACACAAGGTGGAAAGGCATTACCCACAGAATTATTTCTGGTTTTGTATTTTTTTTTCACATTTATTTTATTGAGAAAAAAAATTCTCTTGACAAAATTAAACACTTAAACTAACATTTATCCATGAGTAGCTCACGTCACATATAAAACACATCACAATAGTATGATCTCCATCACAAGCTATCGGATAGACATGTACATTTTAATAATTTTTCATGCAAACATGAAACAAATCTCTAAAAAATAATAATAATAATGAAAAGTTATGAACTATCGCCATTCTCGTAAATTAACTTGCGACACACATTTAGATGCTATTATTACTCGGGGAATTTCGCAAGTAAACTAAGAAGAAAAATTTCTTTTATTTTGGAAATTTCCTTTTCAATTTCGCAGAAGCGAGACATTTGTCAGAGTATGAAGCTTGCTTGAAAGCCTCTTGAGTTGCTTTTGTCGGAATCTTAATTTAAATAATTGTTAAGTATTGTTCCTTGAGATGAATTCTTTGGATGAATGACAAATTTAAAATGACATAAGAATGATGTGAATATAGCATAGTTTTGGATGTCAACGGTTAGTTCATGTTAAATTCTATGTCTTTAAATGTTTGATGTTTTGAATGTTTTTAAAACAAATAAAAAATCTGAAAGATTTACTTAAAAAAATCTTTCAAATTCTTTAAGATGTTGTCTATGTGATACTAAAAGGATAGATGAAGAAATGTCCATAATGTTAGAGTTTTTTTTAATGAGGAATTATGATGTTATCATTTAGAGTTGCAATTACTTGATTGGAATCTTGAAATCTTTGACAATGGCAACCCAAAGTGAAAAACTAAGGAATTTGAACTTGATCACGGAATTGATGTTTACTAATGAATAGATACTTAAGCAGTTCTTAGTTGGCTATGTTAAATCACTTTGATCTGCAAATGCTCAACTAAGAATCAATGATCTAGATCTGTGAACTACTGATTAATTTACTACGGTATTCAAAGCTATAAAAATAAAGGTTCATTAAGACAATATCTTAAAGATGTATCCTAGATATTCTTAAGAAAACTTCTCTTTCAAAAGTTTGATTGCATCATTTAAACTAAACATCAAACTAAAGGTCCCTCTGATATCAATTCAGTTTGCAAAAACTTATTCATTCAATGTTTGTCTCTAATCTGAAAACTGATACATCATTAGATTATAGCATATAAATTCATTATTAGTTTGTATGTTACTCAAGCAACTTTTAACTCTGACAGCTATTCTCTTATTCTTTGGAAATTCCAATAGCTAGTTTTTTGTTTTGTTTTGAAATCTTTTCAAGAAATTCTTCTTCTTTTATTAAACCAGAAATTTTTTATTGATCGCAAAGGCGCTACTCAGCTTTAATAAATTAATAAGATGATTCACTTCAAGATTACAGGCGCGTGTTTAGCCTTAAAACAATCCTTAAAGAAATATGAAAGAAAAAATAATGTTTTATGAAAATGATAAAAATGTGTTTATAAAAACTTAATAAACTTCCGATAAATTTTTTTTGAAACGCAAAAACTATAAAAAATGTTCAATACGTAAATATATCTGTTTTTTTTTTATAAATTCGAGTGCGACCCACAAAAAAATAGTAAACAGAGTTTGTTGCGCTATGTGCTTAAAACTTTTCATGCACATTTCACACATGAATACACTTGGTGGACATAAAGTAAATGACTTTGCATGTGAATTTGTGTTTAACATTTTTTTTGTGAACTATTATATAATGATAAGTTTGATGTCCAGAAGCAATAATTAAAATATTTTTTCGTCGGTCTCATTCTGTTTAAGTAGTCAAGTCATGTCGAAATTTATTGAAATAGAATTTTTTCGGGTATGAAATAGATTGAAAGAGATACGATCCGATTTTGAGGTTAAATTAGTCATAGCTATGAACTGGATGTAATCAGGGTTCTAATGGGGTACACCCCAAGCTAGATGAGTGATGGCTATGTCCCTGATCGAAGTCAAGAACAAATTATTACTTTGTCATGTGATTCACCAAATTATAGATGTTTTGGGTTTTTTATAAGAAGAATTTATGGAAGCGCAAAATCTGTTCTATAAATAGAAAATATAATTTGGAGGTTTGACTGTTAAGTAATGAATAGTTTTGAGTTCAAAATTAGTGAACCGAGAACCTTGCGAAATTTGTTTTAGTGGAATCACCTCAAATCATGTAATTTAGATTGGGAAAATTACTATTTTAAAAGTCAAATTCACTTCTGGATGATTGAAATTTCAATTCTCGTGAGCTTAGTCTAGAAAATCAGTCACAGTTTTTCAAGGTTCGAATTTTTATAAAAGTGACGTGTTCGACAGAACTTTGCCTTTCCATTTCAATTTGAATTATCTTTCCGGTTTGATTTACACTCGAAAGATAAATGATCGTATAAAACTTGCAAGGTATGCAGCTGGCAGAAGCTTATTTTGCAACAGTTATTCGTAGAACGAGTATATTGACAGTCATTAATTACAAAAACATCAATAAACAACAACTTCTTTTACCTACGAACTCATGTTGACATTTTAATGCATACAATACATATTCTGTCCTCTTCTTACTTCTTCATGTGACTCATTTTTTTTACTTTATATAAACATATTCAAAATGTTATAAATATAATAAAAAGTAGAAACATACACACATTTTTTTTTATTCATTATAATGTAAAACAAGTAAGCAGACATAGTTTGTGCAAGCACAATAGTATGATGAAGCATGAGTTAAACGAGCATGCTTATAAATAAAGTTGAGCAATTGAAAAGAGACCCCCTTAAAATACTAAAATTATTCGTGCAATACAATTAAAAAATTAATTTTAATAGGTAATGTGTAATTGTAAGTTCCAAAAGCTGATAATTTGTTTGCATGCAATTTTGAAGAAATATCTTTACCTAAAATTATCATAGACATAACCCGATACTTTTTGAAAATAGCTGTAATTAAACAATACTTTGTGAGTTGGATGAAATAAAAATCGAAAAAGAGAGAGCAAATTTTTGTAGGGTTTCAAATCTGTGGATTAGATATTGATGTTCAAATGGTTTTTAAGAAATATTCGATTATATCAACTTAATGAATAACAGATTTTAAAGATATAACAAATTTATAAATTTTGAACAATTTTTGCGGGAAAGTTTGTTTACATTTCTATTTCATTCAAAACTTTGCAGAGCAAAGACGTATTTTTGGCAAGTAAATCAATTATTTTAATTAGGGGTCGTTCACTTATTACATTCGCATTTTAGGGGGGAGGGGGGGTTTGAAAAATTATAACATAATGTAACATAGGGGGGGGGGGGGTGTCAAGAAGTATGTAACTTGTCGTCTGTCTTTTAAAAAGTCTTTTTAAAAAAAGTTCACGAAAAAAATTTGTTTACAAATTCAGACCAAAAACCTTTTTTTTAAATTTTCCACCTTTTTATCAAAATAAAGTAAATTATGAACGTTCAGGGGGGGGGGGGTTGTGAGTTGTAACATATTGTAACAAGGGGGGAGGGGGGGGGGAAAGTCGTTTTTTTGCGTAACGTAATAAGTGAACGGCCCCTTAACAAACATTTAAAACCCACTGTATGTTCTAAAATCAAAACAGAAGAACAAAAGATCAAATAAAATTGTCAAACATAATAATCACAAATTATTTGCGAAATTCAACAACTACTTGAACATCATTAGTCATAATAAATATAAATTAGGATTATCTAGCTAATTAACTGGATAAACTTCATCTGTAAGATCTTCAACAGATTTTCAACCCTAAATATATGTGAATAAAGTTTTATACTGGCCACATCACTGTCTTTGTTTCTTGTAAATTAAATTTTTTTCTTCGTCCATGCTTTTCTTTTTTTATTTTGCCATTCAGAATGTTTCTTTCGCCTTCTCTTTTATTCGAGCTTTTAAATCACTCGCTATATACATATAAAATAGATAAGACTTACTGATAATACGAAGTATAAAACCTACCGTTTTTGATCTTGATCGAGAGCATATCGATATATAAAATTAATTGAATAATATAATCCCAAATAAGCAAGAAGTTCACGCCAAACTAATTTGTATACACTACCACGCCACCTGTATTGGACATTAAAAAATGAAAGTTACTTGATTAGTTTTATTGGCACTCATCCTATTTTTTGTGTGTTACGGTTTATTTTTGTTAATGAATTGGCTTAAAATATATTAAATTTCTTTTCTGTTGTCATTAGCTTATATTCAATACTAATGCAACAGGTGTTATCAGCGAATTTCTATCCATAGAGAAATAAATTCAATTAGTTTCGGGTACATGCAATCGATGAATACATTTTTGAGTACAAAGCTATGAGATGACGCAAACTAGCACTGAATATAATTGTCGTGGGAAAAAAGATTGAAACTTAAGAATTAGCTTCATGTGAATTAAGTCGAGTCTCTCACATTCGCATTGGTATTATCGCATAATCACTGCTTGTTTCATCAATTCAGCATGTGTATTAAAAACAAACAAAACTTTTCAATGACATTGAAATTTTGTACCGAGATTTATGAATAATTAAAAATTATTTCTGTTGTTAAACAATTTTCATGAGCATTTAAAAATAAGTTTTGTGTCAAAAAAAAAAAGCTCGCAATTTACTGTCATTAAGTTCTTATCAGATCAACAATCTCGTTTGATTTATAATTTCTACATTTTTCTAACTGTACTTATTTATTTTTTAAGTGTGAAGGTAATTACGAATTTTATATTGTTTTTAAATGCATGCAATATTGTGCTGTATGGCATGCTTTCCAAAAGAGTCATTTGTTTAATTTTTTAAATCCGGACTTCAGTAGCGGAAATGTGAGTAAAACAAAGGCATTTTTACTCTCATTTTGTTCCTTTTACTGTGATTTCTTGAGCTTAAAATTTATAAATGTTTATAAATAACGTCACAGTGGGATAAATGGGTCTAAAACAAGAGATGCTTCCCTAAAGTATAAATGAGGTTTTACTATGTAGACACAATGATTCAGATTCGGAAAAAATGTTCAAAAATTCAAAAATAACATATTAATTAAACTTCATCTTTTAAATGCCAGATTAAAGATCTAAACTTAAGGCATATTCACTGAAAATATCTCGTTTCAATTTGATGTCTAACTCCAGAAATCTTTAATTTATTTTCAACAAAAAAAACTTGCTAAGTTAAGTTTAGATTTGCATATTAAAACCACCAAATCAAAAGAAAACTGCTTATTAAGTCTTAAAAATGCAATTGAAATCTGATCATTTTTGCAAAACTTAAACTATTCATAAGTTAAAAAGTCTTCCAAAGACCTCTCTGAAACCTATATAAATCAATTATTTAAGCTTAAATCTATCTTCCATACTAATATGGTCATGCCGTTCAATGCCGTTTTCGAGATATTTGCGTTCAAAGTTTACATAAATTTTCATACAAAATTTGGACATGCACAATATTTTTTGATAAACTTTTACATACTTTTGCTGAAAAAATCATGTTTATCCTTTATATTATGACTGAGTTTTTGAGCAATTAATAAAAATTATGGAGAAGATGCTAAAAGAATCAAATCAAAAGAAATCAACAAAAACTTTCAGTTTTCTAATGTGTCAGAAAAGTATTGTGCACAAGGAAATTTTAAACACTTTTTTCAAATCTGAATCATTGTGGTAGAGACCAATAATAATTCTTGGATTGCATTCCCAAATAGTACAAGTCGGTTAATCGAATAGAAATCCGGCATAGCTAGCGCAACTCTGGAATAGTGCTGAATTCGATTTAAGACTTGTGCTATTCTGGATTTGTTGACAATAGAGTCCTTAATATCCTGAACTAGCAGATAGTTTCAAAATATAGCTAAAGAAGTGGTTAAGTGACTAGTATAGACTTCCTCTCCCACCTCTAGAAACTAGCCTCTGGCATTTAAACATGATTGACCCTCCTTTAAAAGACAGTCTTGAATATTTTCACACATTTTTAAATTGACAAGAGATTAAGCCTCAAATCATTTGCAATATCATTGATAAAAGAATTCAAGTTCATAAATTTTAAACTTTAAATGAGTCGGTAAATTATTCATATCTCAAGCTGTTCTTCAGATCTGTTAACCTTTCCCACAAAACTTACTTAAATTCAACACACAAAAATGCGCATTTATTATCAACTTTTCGCAAAACCTTCCAACTCAAATATTATAATAATTATTATTCTAATAATGAGACGTGCTGATCGAAGATCGTGAATAACAGCAAGCTTGACTGATTAATGGTCTCAGATATCGGAATTTCCTTCTCATTGAATCGTCTTCCGATTATTATTATTGTGCAATTTGAACTTGTATACAAAAAAAAGAAGCTTTTTAATCGTCGGTTGAACAACAATGATTTTAAAATTAGAAATCCATTAGACATTGAATTGAAGCGCAAATCTTTGCGTTATACAATCCAGAGATTAAGAAGAGATATTATTTTGCACTTTTATTGTTTTCCTCTCTCACTCATGCTGTGCGTGTAGTTTCTTTCCGAAAAAAGTTATTAAACGTATTTATACGGCAAAATATAAATTGCATCATTATGTAAAAAAACATTATAAGTATTTAAAATACATGAGATGGTGGCATTATACACTTGCAGTTTTTGCCATATATATTAATAGTGTAACATTCACTTGTGCATCGAGTAATTAACAAGGCCTGTATAATGTTTTTTGATCTTTTTTTTTATATGTTGATGTTGTCATCTGATTCATTGGATTTATCATTGTATTCTTTGTTGATTTATAGCTCTTTCAAGCTCAACAGAACTCTCAATTTGTATCAAGTTTCATTATTCTTTTAGCTATGCATACGATTCATCTGATCAGCTTAGTGTTGTTGATTCATAAAATTCTTTCATTTCTCAACTGGGGTCGTTCACTTATGACGTTCTTTAAATATGAGATTTTAAGAAACTACTTTACTCAAATTTGTTACGAAATTTCAGAACTTCTCAACCCCCTTCCCCCATCAACTTTAATTATGAATATGGGAAAAGGATCTGAAATGACAATCAAGGGTGCGGAACTGGTGAAATGATCAAAATTGATTAAAAAATTTTATCAAAATTGATCAAGATGTAATTTATCAGTTCTGCACCCTTGGTGACAGTTCAGAACAAAAGAAAATTTAAATAGGCTTTGAAAAATTATTATCGCGCTACGTAAATCATTGACACCCCCCCCCCCCCCCCCCCAATATGTTTATAATTCTCAGAATTTCTAAGTGAAAAGCTTGACAGGAAAATAAGTAAGCTCGTTGAAGAAAATTAAGCGAAAAAGTTGCATTTTAATTATAAAAAGTTAATTCTGACGAGTCACGTGCCTTGTATTGCAGTTTTTTGATAACAATAAATTTGTTTTAAATTACAACTTTTGTTTAAATAAATCTGAGTGTTATTAGTAGCTTTAATAACTCAATTAAATGCACATTTTTAATATTATATTGTAAAAAAATTTATTGAGTACTGTCGAGTTGTGAAATCTCAATATTAAAGAATGTTCTGAGACACAGTGGAGGAGGGGTGTAAAATTTATATTTTTTGAATAAATCATTTATGAACGACCACAAAAATAAAGAATTTTTGGTCAGTTTCGGCAAAAAAAGCTTAGTTTTGAAAAGTTATTAAATTTTATTCTTTTTTTTTGTTTTTTTGTTAAGTTTTGAAATTTGGAAGAATTTATTTGAGTAAGTTTCGGCAAAGTTAAGTTTTTGAAATTTATTGAATCTTTATTTTTGGTTTTTTATTCAGTTTTAAAATTTATCAAATTTAAAATTTTAAAAATTGAAAAAATCAAGTTTTTTAATAAGGGGCCATTCACTTATTACGTAACGCTTTTAGGGGGAGGGGGGGGAGTCTAAGATTTTGTTACGGTTCAAACAAGGAAATTTTTTTTTCATACAAATTTTGTTACGATGAGGGGGGGGGGGTCTAAGAAGTCATTTTTTCGCGTTACGTAATAAGTGAACAGCCCCTAAGTTGAAGTTCGAAAAAAAATCAAAAACATATTTCATTAGAAGAGTCGAACAAATGATAATCACGGAAAACATTTTAATTGGTTCGAATCTAACTTAGAAGATATTAATTTCCATAATGATGAAACAAAGTTTGGCGACAATTTTTAATTTGAAAAGGAAGGTATGCAAAAAAAAAATGATAGAAAATATGTAGATTAACCAGTGTGCGAGAGATCAATAACTCATTAGCATTCGACTAAGCTTTTTTAACTGATTCAATTAATTTTATTTCTCGTTGCAATCGTTGAGTGGATTTAAAAACTTACAAAACAGCACAAAAAAAATATTAGAAATTTAGTCATTTAAATGCAATTATAACTCACTTCCATAAAATTTTCCAAAAGCACCCAAATGCACTGCCATTTGGGACTTCTGCTGAATATGAGATGGTCATTTATTTACAAAGGATAGGAAACTTCGCACATAAAAAAATAATAATAGCGATTTGCTGATTTTTTTGTTATCCAATTATTGTGGCACAGACTTTAATTCATTTCAAAGAGAAATTTCACTTTTTTTTTGTCATATGTTAGGTACGAAATTTAATATAAAGGGAATGGCGACAATTTATTTAATTTTCACAGCCACCGAGTTAACTTTAGACGCATTTGGTTCCACTTTCTAAGGCACTTATTCAATCACTAAACGTTTTCAAAACAAGAAATAAACATTTTTGCATGAACTACAAAATTCCATTGAATTATTTGGCACACTTGAATGGAACTCTTTTATTTCTTCTATTTCCTTCTTTTCAAACTTTTTTTTCCTTTCATTTATTTTTTTTATATCTTCACTTAGCTCCTTAACAACTATAAATTTTTTTAACTTTCTTAACAGCGACTTTTTTACTTAAAAATTAAAAATGACTAAAATAATTCCAAAAGATGTAAGATTTTATTCTTGCTGCCACGAATGCTGAACTGGTAGTGAACGATCGATTCTCAATATTCTCACTCTATACCTTAATGCTTGTTCACATTCTCAATTTTTCTCAGAGAATCACCTCTTTTTTCTCTGATTGTCGTTGGATATAGTTTTTTTTTTCAACACACAGCACAGCACAGCACTAGTGCAGTGTCACTTACATTGATAATAATTTGTTTACTTTGCTGTAATTGCAATTATCGAGTAATAAGGTAATATTGAGATTAATTATTAGATTCAATGACAATTATTAACTGTCATGTTACTTAATTGTGAATTTAATTAAGTGACATTTTACTTATGCGGGATCTGTGCCTACATATATACTCAAACTGCAGGCGGTACATAGAAGAAGAAGAAGTCAAGTTGAATTGAGAGAAGTTTGTGATTTTCGGGAGAGTCGCTCAAAAATGACAAAAAAATCACCTGTATGATTATTGAGATGATTGTTGAATTAAAAAAAATTGTAATGAGATTTGCAAATTATGTCAATCAACATGTATTTCCAACATAATGGTTGTTAATCTTTCTCTTATTATTCCTTTAATATTCTTATTATTAGCCATAAATGTTAAATAAATAAACTTTATAAACAAAAAAAAATTATAAATTGAGTTGAGAAAGGTTTTTGTGGTTTTTTTTCGCTAACCGGTTTATATTGTCTGGTAACAAAGGAATTTTTCATGATTATACTGGGAGGATCCAATCACAAAAGTTTACGAACGTTTGAACTTGTCAAACGTTAAATTATTGAATAATCTTTTCTGTGGCTTAAAAAGAGGATTTTATATGAATTGATGTGAAGTTTTGTGGGGTGCGCCAATGATTAACTTGGCAACTATATCTGAACGCGCTTTTTTAACAGGATTTTTTTTCTGAACACAATATTGAAGCAAAAACTTTTTACTGAACGCATTTTTGAAACAAAAAGTTTTTAAACGCAATTTTGACGCGGTTTTTTCTGGACGCAATTTTGAAGCAGAATTATTTTTATTACTGAACGCACTTTTGAATCACAAATGTTTTCTGCACGTACTTTTGAAGCAAAAATGTCTTCTTAACGTCCTTTTGGAGCAAATATTTTTTCACGGATTTTTGGCGCTGTTTTTTCTGAACGCAGTTTTGAAGCAGAATTATTTTTATACTGAACGCATACTTTTTACTAGAAGTTTTATCTGAACGGAATTTTGAAGCAGAAAACTTTTTCTGAACGCAGTTTTGAAGCAGAAAACTTTTACTGAACGCACTTTTGAAGCAAAAATGTTTTCGAAACGCGACTTTGAAGCCAAAATTTTTACTGAACGTAAATGACTTTTCTCTGAATACAAAATTTATTTTGAAATCTTCAATAACAAATTTACAGATGTTGCGAGATGAACCTTCATTAACACAATTAAATCTTCCTTAATATACTTTAAACATTCTAATAATTATCAGACTTCTCTTCTGACATGCAAGTCTACCAGAAAACTTTACCGAAAATAAAAACCATTAGCACGTCTCATAAGCTTCATAGGAATAACTGCGATTAAGACTCAAATTAATTTCTGAACTTATAATTAAGTGAATGACATTTATTCCTAGAAAAATTCATGATTAATGAATGAAAAAAACCAAAATGACTAAGTTAAAGCCTCTTTTACCTCACCAGCATGCTAACAAATCTTGAATTTCAAAAAATTCCAGAGTGTAGACGAAACATCTGACGTAGAGGACCTGCTTATGTATGCATATTGCATATTTATCTCATCTTGACCTTCATTATCATGTGTTTGTTTCTCTCTCTCTATGGTATGAAGTGTGGTATGTGCTGCTTCTACATGGCAGAAAATTGAGTATTATTCAATCAATACCTGTTGCTTAATTATCGTTATTCGTATAGAGTATGAAATATGAAGACAAGAATAAAGAAATATGAAAAACTTTTTCTTGAACAAGGCGATAATTGATATATATTCTACATTCAATTTAACAGTAAATTATGGAAGTAAATAAATATACAGCAGTGTAAAATTTTATTGGGTACCTAAGGCATAGATGCCTAACTTAATGCGATTTTTTTTATTGGGGAAATTAATATTTATAATGAATAATTTCGCATTCTTTGGAATAATGAAGTTAATCTGAAAATTAAGTAAGTGTTATGAAATTGATTCGGTTAGAGGTTCATTCGCTTATTACGTAGCGCTTAAAAGTGAACGGTTGTATGCTACATTGCTGCTTAAATACATCTATAGATCATTTAAATAATTTAAATTTTTGAAAATTGCTATTAAAATCTTTTAACGTATTTTAGAATTTTGAATTCTTCTAAAGTTCAAATTTTGAACTCAAAAATCAAAACATTTGTAAGGTTTTAAAGCAAATTTTATTAAATTTCTTCTTTGTTCCATATAAAATCTATTTTATTTAAGAATGTTAAAGAACTAATGAAATGATACGACCTCATATAAACCCAAGGCCGTAGTTTAATGTGCCAAAAAGTCTCAATTATTTATAAAGTTTTATAACTCTTTAAAATTTCCCCAAACAACACGTGAGAACAATTCAGAACTGAGATTCAGAACTTATTACTAAGCAGTTATTCATTAAAAAATTTATGACCTGTATATTTTTACTCTACAGTCACTTCCAATTTGATTCTCGTGCCAGGAAATGTGTGGATATAGTTGACTTGCTATCGTCAAGAAGCTTGCCAAGTTCAAAGCGTGACATTTTGCATACAGATCAGTTTATTGACATTTTCGCGTGTCTATTTTTGGATCAGGTTCCAGTTTATGATTCTTTAAACTTGCTGCTTTTTTTGGCATCAAATAATATGAATGAGACAATAAATAATCCTTACATCCACTAAAATACAAAATCTAGTCATAATAATTTAAAATTGCAATCCTTTCTGCACTTCATCCATTAATTTAGCAGATGCATGCAATTTAGCCATCTCATCCTCACTCAACTTCTGTTTAACAACGGAAACGACACCATTTGCATTTAAGACACATGGCAATGACAAGAAGACTTCCTTATCAATTCCATGAATTCCTTGGACGAAAGTCGAGACAGCCTTAACTGCATTAGTGTTTTCAAATATTGATGATGCAATATCTGCACAGCTCAGACCAATAGCCCATGAAGTGTATCCCTTCAACTTGATAATTTCGTATGCAGCATCGACAACTTCTTTGTGACAGTCATTCCAATTCTCAGCATCTTTCTCTTCATGACCAGCATGTGGATTGATTTCACGCAAACGGATGCCAGCAATATTGACACCAGACCAGACTGGGACACTTGAATCACCGTGTTCTCCAATGATCCATCCTGTAATGGGTTAGAATTAAATATTATGAAAAGCAACGATTAAAAAATATTTGAATTCTAATATTGAAAACCATACAAATTCAAAATAATTTATAGGGTTTTGATGGGTTTTTGTAAGGTTCTTAAACACAACATTTGAAGGTTTTGATATCATTGAAGGTTAAAATTGATCATGAGACTTAAATATTTTGCATATTTACCGTGCATTGATGTCGGAGCAACATTCAGTCTTTGTGCGAGCAAAAAGCTAAAGCGCGAAGAATCCAAATTAGTACCAGATCCAATGACTCTGTTTTTCGGTAGACCAGATAATTTCCATGCAACATCTATTCAATTTAATTTATATTATTTTTCAGCACTGCTACGGACTTTAATTCTAATAAAAATCTTACAGGTCATAATGTCAACAGGATTTGAGACAATCAGCAATGTTGTTTCCGGACTGTACTCAACAAGTTTCGGAATTAATCCCTTGTAAATCTCAACATTTCTCTGCACTAAATCTAAACGTGATTCTCCTTCTTTTTGACGAGCGCCGGCTGTAATTTTTCAAATTGTTACTTTATACTGCTTTTCATGGTGACATTTTCAATTTGTTTTTCTTACCAGTGACGATAATCAGACGTGATCCGGCTGAAACTGACAAATCTGTGTCTGCTGTAATTTTAGCATTTTTAAGGAACCTTGAACCATGCTGAAGATCCATCATTTCACCTTTTAGTTTATTTTCAAAGACATCGACTAAGGCTATGTCACTTGAGACATTCTAGAATGATTCATGATTGGGATTTTAATACTTTGGTAATGTTTTGGGGTTTTTGGTGTTTCCCAAAATTAAAATTATGAAATTTCAATGGAAATTGTGAGTACAAGACAGGCAGGGTATTTGGGTTATTAGAATGTGAGACTATTCATCTCACCAGATCAAATAGAATCCACGAGGGGAAAACAACATGAGGAGAAAAGTTTTCGAAGAGAAATGTTGAGTTCCCCTCGAAATTTTAAAGAATGTGGAGATAGGACGAGAAATTGTCACAAATTCTAAAACATACCTGAGCTAAAACACTAAATGCAGCGGCCATGCCAACCGCTCCAATCCCTACAACTGTCACTTTTTGATGAGATTTTTGCTCCTCAGTTTTAGGAACTTCATGAAACATTTCGTTCTTGAGATGCATTTTTGGTTTTATAAATTATTTAATATCCTCAAACTTATTTAATTAACTTTCACTAGATTTAAATTTATTTCAAAATTTCACGAGCACGTTTCTTCAATAAAAAATTGTGCTATTGATTTTCTTTCGATGATTCAATGTCTGAATCGTCTGCAATACTGGCGTTATGTGAGAATTATTGCTGCTTATATATAAATTAACTTTCTTATCTGCCGTCAATAGTCGATTGACTTCAAATGCGAATTTGTAAATGAAGAAATGTTTTTGATTCTCATTGCTGTGTATAAGATTCTTAAGAACATGAAAATTCTAAGAAAATAACTGGATACATGGAGATAAATTTTCTGTGTAAATTTTCGTCATTCTTTTGAAAGTCGATTGCCGCATGCAGCATGACGTCATTTAATTTTTAGGAAATGCTCAAATAATACAGTGAAAAAAAATGTTTGGAATCAAGTTCGTCATTTTATTCTCATAATTGTGTGCTATCAAATTGTCGTTAATTTTGATTCACTGGAAGCGAATTTTTCAAAACTGAAATTTTTAATTTTCAACGGATTTTCGAACATTCAAACTTGCAGAAAATGAAACCGTACAATTTTTCGATAAACTGTTGAATGGTTTTTGATTGATTTTCTAGATCAAAACTGTTCAAAACCTTTTAACAGTTTTAGATCTTGTAATTGTAAGGTTTTGAAGCATTTTTTCAACTTTAACCTCTCAATCTTCCTAGATGCATGCTAAAACTATTGAATATAATACATTAATTCCAGGCTTGTCAAATAAGCTTGATAAGAAACTATATTCCTTATAAACATTCAATTTTAATCTCCACAGTATTACTTTTGTTTACACAATAATTTTTCATATTCTACATATTTACACTTAGTGCTCACATGTAGACCATACATACAGACATATGACGCGTTTTTAGCTGTAAATTTATGACTCAATAATTTTTCTCTTTAAAACTTTGCTAAAAACTAAAACGTGAGTTGGCACATGATACACATTTTTTCTTTGTCTTATACGATTCTGATGTCAGTTGATCATATGTTTGTGAAATCTTTACATTTTTTACATGAGGCTGTAATGGGGAATTATCTATTAATATCAGAAGAAAAACAATTTTATAGACAGTTAATCGTCTCAACAATATTACTTTTTATTCAGTTTTGAGTATTTCTTAAGTTTGATTGCCAATTTTCAGCAAATAGTTTTGAGGTAGTCAATGCAAAACCAAAGGACATTCTTCATTAAAATTTTGTTTAAAACATTTATTCATCTTTTTTTTGTCATTTTTTCATTTAATCAGATATCATTAACTACTTAAACTTAAAGCAAGAGATAATTTTGAAAAGGTCTAGCTTTTTTTTGTTAATAAATAAATTAAAAGATTCTCAAATTCACTTCTGTCTTCCACAAACTAGTTTTAGAAATAATATAAAGTTCCTTATTGGACCATCCTGTATGTACTTAAATGATGAATTTACATGTAAATGCAAACATTCATGTTTGGGGTGCAGTGCAATAAATTATTTTCGTGCGCTTAATAATGTATAGCTTCATCTTGTCATCACATTTTTAAAGTACTCGAAGATTTGCTTAGTTAATTTAGAAGATAATTCCACGTTGAACTTCATCCATCAAGTTTGCTGATGCTTGCAACTTGGCAACTTCATCGTCGCTCAACTTCTGCTTAACAATAGAAACAACACCGTGCGAGTTCAAGACACATGGCAATGATAAGAAGACATCCTTGTCAATTCCATGAATACCCTTAACCAATGTTGAGACAGCCTTAACTGAATTTGTATTACGAAGGAGTGATGATGCAATATCAGCACAACTAAGACCAATAGCCCATGATGTATATCCCTTTAATTTAATAACCTCATACGCAGCACTAACTACATCTTTATGGCACTGATTCCAATTCTCTTGATCTGCTTCATCAAATCCAGCATTTGGATTGATTTCACGAAGACGAATGCCAGCAATATTGACACCAGACCAGACTGGAACACTAGAGTCACCATGTTCACCGATGATCCATCCTGTGTTGGACGAGAGTTAATTATATATTAGATGTAAATAGGCAAATTTTGAACTCGTAAGGACTTGAACACAAAAATGATCAAATCGGTCACGTGTCTTAGACATTCAACAGGTAAGCATATATTTACCGTGCATAGATGTTGGAGCGACTTTCAAACGTTGAGCTAAATTGAAACGGAATCGTGACGAATCTAAATTTGTTCCAGAGCCAATGACCTTATTTTTTGGCAAGCCAGACAATTTCCATGCCACGTCTGTATAGATAGAAATATTCAATCATTAAATGCATCACATCAATCAATAAAAGAACTTACAGGTCAAGATATCGCAAGGATTTGAGACAATCAACAATGTTGTATCGGGACTGTATTCAACAAGTTTTGGGATCATTCCCTTGAAAATGTCAACATTACGTTGGACTAAATTTAAACGTGATTCTCCTTCCTTCTGACGTACACCAGCTGAAAATATATTATCAAACAAGTGGCGATTAAATGTGAGTTTTGGTACGAAAATTAAGAAGCCTTATAACCCACCTGTTACGATAATCAATTGTGATCCAGCTGATACGGACAAATCAGTGCTTGCGGAGATTTTTGCGTTTCTCAAAAAGTTAGATCCATGCTGCAAATCCATCATTTCACCCTTCAACTTATCTGCAAAGCAATCAATAAGAGCGACATCGCTAGATACATGCTGTCACGTAGCACAAAAATGTTTCTTATTATTCATTATTTTACGTAATTTCCATCACACAAATTACCTGAGTTAAAATACTGAATGCAGCAGCCATGCCAACAGCTCCGATTCCAACGATTGTAACTTTATGGTGAGTTTTTGGCTCACTGTCGTCAGTGACTTCGTGGAACAATTCTTCATGGACATTAGCCATTTTTATTTCAATATCGTCTGTTTAAATGAAAAATGATAATTTTATTAGTGCCTGTAATTGCTCATTATCACTCCTATGCTGTTTTTTACATCAATTGCTTCTTATTTGCGAGATATCTTTGAACTTTCACTGTGTTGACGTCGATACTTTTTTGACTGTACGACTTTGTGAGAACCGGCAAGGTCAATTGGAAAATGTGAAAATCTATTTTTATCGATACTCGCACAATTTTTATATCCTTAGCTAAAGTTCTGTCTAATTCAAATGGTCTAAGTCAACTGATTGCGAATATGTTTCAATTCTGCTTATATATTGAACTTATCTATGATAAAAACACATCATCAAAAAAATGGAAAAAAGGAAAACGTGCAGTATAAAAATATCACAGTATGGAGACGACTATAAGCTATAATTCAGAAGATGAGCGACTGTTATGACATAAATTAAGGCGTGTAGTGGGCCAACACAAATAGAATTGATATAAGGAAAGGTTCTCAATTGACAGTGATTGAAGTTCAAGTTCAAATTACTTTCCTAGCACAATACGCAATATTTTTTGGCACACAAAATGTACACACTAATGGAATTTCTACTGATAACAATGTTTTCCTTACATTTATCTAATCAGTTCAATAAAATAACACACAATAAATGCTAGCGACTCAACAAATTCACAGTTCGGTCTGCACTTTTGCGGCAGTGGTGACTTAATGGATATATACTTGTACACGCAAAATTTCCTTGCCTTTCTTTGAAGGTGACCTTTTTTCCCCAGTCAGTTTTGTTAGAGATATATACAAAATATAGTAAAAACATGTGGATGGAATGGGCTCTAAGACTGTGTGTGAATATTGTGGGGAATTAGAACGCAAAATTCGTATGCTCTATCTCTGTCTGTAACAGAGGAGATTTAGGAAATCATCTAATGAACAAAAGAAGTAAATGCGGAACCGAATACGTTCCATTCCATACTTTTTTCCCAAACTAACACAACTGTGAATTTTATGCGCATGACTATAACTCTTTTTAAAAATCTAATGTGTAATTACTGATCAATTTTAAGAAACAAATTTCATGAACATATCCATTTCTTGCAGTTCAGTTATTGCTAAAGTCTTCAACAGACAAGATAAAATTTCAACTGGATCTTCAAGAAATAAAAAGATCAGTTTCTTCTTTTTAATCCTTTGAAATTTTATTTGACATTGAAATGACCTACAAATAATGCCGACGAAATAATAAGTAACAGTAAATTATACAAAAATATGGGAATTTCGCTAATAAGAAGCAATTCTACGTCATATTGATGTAAATCTAATTCTAATGCTTTGTACAACTGCTATCGCTTACCCATGATTGCACAATAATTAGGAGTATTATCGAGCAGCAAGAATAGTACAGATCAGTTACAGTCCAAAACACAGGAGAGACTGAATGAAAGAACTGACGTTTGGAGAAAATGTTAAATTGTTTGATAGTGTAATAGAGAGCATAAAGATCAATGAATGCGCATGCGAAATTTACATGCTTTCTCTTCTCTCTTCTAGGAACTTACAAGTACTTACGATAGCCGGCAATATATAACTTTAATTATGTAGAGTTTGATTTATTAAACTAGTTTAATGTGACTCACAAAATGCTGACTTTAATCAACAAAACATGAAAAACGTGTAGAAATTAAATCAAAAATTAACGACACTTTAAAATTCAAAAAAATTTGCTTAAAAGTGAGCAACGAGAAGAAAATAATAAAAGTGACATGTCAACAAATAGAGTAAATTAATAACGAATTAGGGCATAATCCGGATATATCCGACGACTTTAATTAAGGACACGTCAAGATAAGATAACAACAGATAATCATGCACAATAAACTATTCATTTTCTGCTCTGTAATCCTTTCAATTTTAAATACAATTCGAGCCGACGAGCATAATCATATTGTAAGTAATGATTTAGCATGTAAAGTACTGAGCTGTACTTAATATTATTAATCATATCAATTGATGTATTATCTTACAGTATGAAGATCATGAAGAAGTAGTTCTGTGGATGAATACAGTTGGTCCATTTCATAATAGACAAGAGACTTATGGATATTTTTCATTGCCTTTTTGCGTTGGCAGTAAACAAAGTATCTCACATTATCATGAGACGATGTCAGAAGCACTGCTAGGTGTAGAATTAGAGTTTAGTGGATATTCAATTGATTTTAAAGATAGTGTACCTAAAGGAACTGTCACATGTATGGTTGAATTGGATGAAGAGAAATATAAGGCATTTGTATATGCTGTAAAGAATCATTATTGGTTCCAGATGTATATTGATGATCTGCCAATATGGGGAGCAGTTGGTAAAGAGCATGAAAAGAAATATTACATACATACACACAAACGAATTGATATTGGATATAATGGCAAACAAATTATTGATGTTAATTTAACAAATGAGCATGAACAGCTTCTTCATGTTGGAGCTAAAATCTCATTCACATATGAAGTCAATTGGAGACCATCTACTGTCGAGTTTAAGGATCGCTTTGATAAATATCTTGATCCAAATTTCTTTCAACATCGCATCCATTGGTTTAGCATCTTTAATAGCTTTATGATGGTCATTTTCCTTGTAGGACTTGTTTCAATGATTTTAGTAAGGACATTAAGGAAAGATTATGCACGATATAGTAAGGATGAAGAAATGGACGATATGGAAAGAGACTTGGGCGATGAATATGGATGGAAAAATATTCACGGTGATGTCTTTCGTTCCTCATCATATCCAATATTATTCACATCATTAATTGGTTGTGGATATCAACTGACTAGTGTCGTACTTTGTGTTATTTGTTTCGCTATTATGGGCGAACTGTATACTGAGTAAGTCATACAACAAATCTTTCTTTATTTCAAATTTGGAATTATTGTAGTTTAAGTTTCATTACTTTGAGTCTTATTTTGACACCAGCCTGAATATGGCTTTAATTCAACTATATCTTGATTAATTATTAATTTTGATGAATGAGATTTACATATATCATGAAAATGTGGCATAAAAAGTTTAAAAAAAGTTGCCGAGCGAGAAAAAAAAAAAAAAAAAAAAAAAGCTTTTTTTTTTTAAGCTTATGAACTACGTTAATAAATTATTTTTGAACTGGCTTGTTCGGTGCTGGAGGGCAGCCAATGAAGCCATAGTTCACCATGATTTTAAATGCAGTTCCTTGAGGTGCATCCTTTGGGATCTTTCCGACTTCGTCTACGAAACTGCAGAACTGATTTATTGCTTCTTCAATGTTGGGGATTCTCTTTAGACGTTCTTGAGCTTCTGTGAATTTCTTGAAAAGGCTTTCATTCTTTACTGCTTCGTTGAGTTTCTCTGCATAACTGATATTATTGATCAGTTGTTGCTGATTAATCTCTTCTTTAAATGTTGCTGATGAGTTACTTGCAGCATTCACTGGATGTGAATGAGCAGAAACTTGATGTCGTTTGCTTAACGATGGAAAATTGTTACTGTCCAAAAGACTTGATATCTGTGGCAGCATTTTGAGTTGTGGTTTGGCTCTTGACTTTTCGATTCTTTTGGAATACGAAATGAACGATGGGCACAGTCTATAACTGGCAGCATGATCGCCATTGCAATTAATGCACTTGGCATTTCCATCACGAGTGGATCGTTGACATTGATTTGGTCCGTGAACTTCCGTGCACTTGACGCATCGGAATTTATATCCACAATTTTGAGATGAGTGACCCCAACGTTGGCAGTTGAAGCACTGCGTTGGGCTTTTGTTGCCCTTCTTGATGTTCTCCCACTTGACGATGATGTTGTCGATGTTACGGTGGTTATGATTGAGCACGTTGATGTTCACACTTTCATCTTGAAAATGCACAAGATAAAAGGTGAACTCGGGCTTCTTGACGAGAATTGTCACTTTGACAGCTGAAACCTTGGCTTCTTGAAGTAATCTTAGTACTTCATTCGTTGGTGTTTCGTAAAATCCTTTCAGAACGAATGACTTTGTTTTCTCCGATTTCTCGGAGAAGGTGTGGAATTGAATAGTTTGAGACCGCAGAAGGTTTATTATTGAGGCCTTATCCTCAATAGACTTGACAATTACTTGAGTTGTATTTGATGATGAAATTTTATATGCAGGCATAACCTGCAATTTCAATAGTGAAATTAATTTTCTCACATCCTTGAGACTGCATTGCACAAATATTGGCTTGACTGAAGTTGTTGTTGTGACTGGAACCGATGATTCCTCTTTCTGAGGCGTTTGCTTCCTCTTCTTGGAATTTTCATTAGATTTGATTGAACTTTCGTCCAAATCAATTTTTGGCGACAAATCTTGCTTTCTTTTGGCTTTCCTCATTGTCCTTGAGGAAAACACAACCCTTGGCACTAAGTAAGAAGGTTTTTTCCAACTAATAACGACTTGAACACTTTAATTAATTTAATAAAAATTTTTCAAAAAAAAAAAAAAAAAAAAAAAAAAAAAAAAAAGTCATACAAGCTTAAAACAGTTATCTGTTAATTAATTAAATGTTATCAATTTTATAGACGTGGATCGTTGTTATCGACTGCGATATTTGTATATGCTGCAACATCACCAATTAATGGATATTTTGGTGGATCTCTTTATTCAAGAATGAGTGGAAAAGTATGGATTCGTCAAATGCTTTTATCAGCATTCCTTATACCAATGTGCATCTGTGGCACTGCATTCCTTATCAATTTCATTGCAATCTATTATCATGCAACACGTGCAATTCCTTTCGGAACTATGCTAGCTGTAACATGCATTTGTCTTTTTGTGATTTTACCATTAACAATGGTTGGAACGATTGTTGGACGAAACTTAAGTGGACAGCCTGATCATCCATGTCGAGTTAATGCTGTTCCACGACCAATTCCTGAGAAGAAATGGTATATGGAACCAGTTGTCATCACATTATTAGGTGGAATTCTACCTTTTGGCTCAATTTTCATTGAAATGTAAGAAATTCTTAATCTAATGGATTTAAATTTTAATCCTTGGATTTGTTTGTTTTTAATCTAATCCAATCTATAATTCTAGGTACTTCATTTTCACATCATTTTGGGCTTATAAAATCTACTACGTCTATGGATTCATGCTTCTCGTGTTCCTCATTCTAATCATCGTTACTGTTTGTGTAACAATCGTGTGTACATATTTCCTTCTTAATGCTGAAGATTATAGGTGGCAATGGACTGCATTTCTGTCAGGAGCTTCTACGTCCATTTATGTATATATTTATGCCTTCTATTATTTCTTTTTCAAAACAAAGTAAGTTCATGAGTTAATGTCTTGAGATATGTTACTAATAGTGTGCCTTCTTTTAATCCACAGAATGTACGGGCTGTTTCAAACTGTCTTTTATTTCGGATATATGGCAATGTTTAGTGGAGCGTTAGGCATGATATGTGGAACTGTAGGATATATTGGTACTACTTATTTTGTAAGGAAAATCTATTCAAATGTGAAAATTGACTAATTATTGATTGTTTTACACGCTGTTTTATATTATTTAATAAATCGAGTCCTTAAAATTATACAATTTATTTAACGGATTTACCAAATTTGAAAAACTTGAGTTTTTTTTCTAAACGCATAACTTCAAAAAAGTAAATAATCGCACGTGTTTGATTGAAAATTGAAATTAAATTAAATCAAAGGAATTAGATAATTAATCATAAATTAGAAGCAATTGTAAGTATCAACAACACATTCTTAATTGATGGAAGTCAAAGAATCTTTATTTGCATGTAGAATTGAACAATAAAATGTCAACATCACTTCGTGAGCAATTATTGAAACTTCAAACGCCACAATCTTCTCAGTTTGTGGATACTAGACGTCGTGACTCGATTCTATTTACACAAAAGGATGCAGCAACAAAGAGCCGTGAGACGATCTATGAAATTGGATTGAGTGGATTAAGAGAACTGATTGATATTGACGATTCCTTTTCTGAATTTGAGAATACATTGTTTGATTTTACAGTAAAGGATGTCCAACGTGCTGTTGAAACTGATGAGGTCAATAAGCTACTTAATAAGAACATTAAACGATTCATGTTCCATTTATCGCCTTATTTCCTCATTCCTTCATCACATAAATGCCTGGAATGGCTTATTCGTCGGTTCAACATTAATCTATACAATAAAGAGGAAATGCTTATGCTGATTCTTCCTTATCATCATACAAACATGTTTGTTCGATGTATTCAAATTATGAATTTTGACAATTCATCAGACAAGTGGAACTTCCTAAGTGAAGTTAAAAAGACATCAACACCGTTGTCTAAGCTTACTCTATGGAATCACGGTGCTTCTCAAACTGATTTCCTCGATTTTGTTGGAAAATTTACTTACGATGCTGTAAAGGAACTTGATAGAAGTGCAGGAAAATTACAGACAATGATTTCATTCTATTTTACATCTATGGTCGGATCTTTAGAACATGCCTCAAAAATTAATGATAATCACATCGTAACTGTGTCTAGATTTTTATTAAAAACATACAAGTCTAACATAACTGATTATAATGCTGCCGGATTTATGATTACTGCACAGCTTTTAGCTAAAAGTAGTTTGAAGGAAAAGCTTCTTTATGAATTTATGGATCGCATCACTAAGTCAACAAACATTAAGCTAGCAAGAGACTGCATTTTGTTACTTGCTCTTATGTTTCAAACACAAACTGATGAGCTCAAAGTCAGCGATGTAACTCTTCACAATTTGATGCAAATGAAAGGATTTTTGATGATTTTAAAGCAAGCAATGAGAGAAGGAAAGATGATCACTGATTTCTATAAAGCACTTATCTACAAGTTGTTGATCAAAATCCAGGAAAAGGATGGGAATTTCCTACAATACAAGGAATTTTGTGAAAACCTATTGAACGAAATTGACATGGATGATGATCTTGCCTGCATAATTATCAGGTAGAATAACGGACCTTTTTGGTTTAAATCTATAACGGAAATTTTATCTTTGAATTTTTAACGAAACTTATAAAATTCAAATCTTAATAATTCGTTATTTTTGAATTTTTAATAACCGTTTTATTTTTTATATTTGCAGAACAATCTTAGACAGTTACGTTCAAGAAGATACTAAAAGTCCACAAACTCAATCTGATGATGAAATAGTTCTATTAGACTCTGATGATGAGAATATTCCATTAAAGTCTCAAGATGTGACTATTTGGTTCTCAAACCTGCTAAAAACACTTGAAAGACAATATCCCATGTCATTTGATATTGTTGTTAAGAATGTAATGACTAGAATTCCTGGACGTAAACGTAATGGACTAAAGAATGTATTAGGTGAGGTATTTTTAAGTGTTTTTAAATTATTAAACATTAATTGAAATCACATTATACAGGATTTCTGTTGAATGTTTCATGCTCGACGAATGATACCAACATATTCGAGAACCTGTATCATCATAATCCACATATCCGTTCTGAAGCTGTCTCATATCTCGTCAAAAACCTGAAATCGATTGAAAGAACGCCAGAAAATATCGATATATTAAAAATGACATTAACTGAGAGACTTAATGATGATAATCAGCTTGTTGTGCTTGAAATGTTCAAAATGGATTTTGTTTTTCTAAACGAAACTGTCGGAAGTGATGAATTAGTTGCAAGATTATCAAAGATTTTAATGAAATATTGGGCCAAGCCTGAAAAGTGGAATGAAATTGCAAAATTGGCATTAAACAAGATGACTTCAGAAGTGTATAAAGGCTGTACAGACACAAATATTGTCCTTTTTGCTTTAATGCCATTTTTATTTCCAAAAGACTCGAAATCTTTAGAATTCGCTCAAATTATTAAGAATTCAAATTATGCAGCAACACAAGATGCTCTCAAGAACTTACCTGCTATTCCAAAAGATCATGTTAAGTGCTGTGAAGTCATGAACGGATATTTTACAAGCCACAAGAATTTGCCACCAAGTTATTCAATTCTACAGACTATAACTCACATTGTTATCGATAATCACCAACTTGGCAGCATTAAGGAGAATTTTGCATTTTATTTATTTGCTTGTTCCTTAAAATCACCAATTGAACATGAATTTGCATTGAAAGTGCTTCAGAATGTCAAAAAAGTTTACAACTTCCCGAATTCGACATTTAATAATTTAAAGATCATCAACGTGCATCTTAAGAACCACGAATTATCGACTGACTTAATGTCAACAGTTCTGATTAAGCTTATTAATTGCATAAAATTTACAAGCTTTGAAATCAACTTTGCAAGCCCAAACTTAGAAATGAGGCTGATCCTTGAAATTTTCCATTTTATCGTCGACTTTTACTTTAAAGTTCAGCAAGTATACCGCAGAGATGTCAATGAAGTCATGATTGAGTTTTTGGACAAAATTTGCAACTCAAATGAATTAAAGAAGCTTGAATTTTTATCGCAATTTTGTGTCCTTCACGCTGCTCAGTATGAATCATGTGTGGATATCCTTGAGTTTCAAATTAGAGTTATGAACTTGTTCCATCATGTCCTGAAGAGTAATCTTGTTAATGTTCAACATTACTCAAATATTATGCATCAAAATGTCGTCTTATCTTTATGCTCAAAGTCTAATAAAATCCGAGAACTTGGAATTAACATAATTGGTGATTTAGAGAACCAGAACATTGCTGATAACTGGAAGTTCTTTTATGGGAAGATACTGGCAAGAAAAAGTGAAATTTTGATGGATAATGAGCAGATTAAAATGATAACCTACTTACTGGCTAATAAAAAGTCATCAAAGTACATCCAGGAGATAAGAGACAATATGTTAAAGACTATAAGCAATGAAGCTACATTTGATTATATAAAATCGGAACTATTGATGCTGTTGAAGCATTTTACAGACAGAAAAGTTTTGGATGTTTCAGCTCAAATTGCCACAAAGATTATCGACGAGTTTAATGACAAGGAAAATTACTTTTTCAATGAGAATCATGCAGCAATTATCAAGCTTGTTCTTATGAAATTCAATCATATTACAGTTAGTGGATTATGGAATCTGGCATTAAAGTCACTAAAATGTCATTTCATTATGAACGATGAGGAAGGAAAGATTTTAACACCGTCGATTCTACTCCTGCAAGCAATTGATAATGAACTTTATGCTAAATTACATCCAGATCATAAAATGGAAATTTTTAATGCAATAATTGAGTGCTCAATGAATGAACAGCCAAGGATTATTCAGAATGCACAGAAAGTCTTTTATAGCATCGATCCTGACTGTAAAATAATCAAGAATTGTCTTTTAAAGTTGACTAAATCCACACACGCTAAAAACGCTAAATCCAGTGAACTTTTTGCATCTAAAGATTGGAAATTTGGAATTGCACTATTGGAACTGCTACAAAATAAGACAAAAGATATTGAGGGCGAGCATGAATTGCTTGCACTTCTCTTTGACATTCTTCAAAATTGTTTACGCTCGTCAGAATCGGATATAGAGTACATTAAGCAAATTATTTTATCACTTCTGTTGACAATTTGTAAGCAAATTTCATTAAATGGTAAAAATCATCGTGCTTTGGGTATCAATGATTCAGTCTTTAAGACAGAATTGATTATAAGATGTATTAAGGAAACACAAAATCCGCAAACTCATCATCATTCATTATTATTATTGGCACAACTCGCACTAATGATTCCTGATCAAGTTCTACGTGATATAATGACAATATTCACATTTGTTGGAACCACCTTAGTTCGTCATGATGATTCATATAGTTTTCAAATCATTACAAAAATTATTGAAAATATAATTCCTAATTTCTTGAAAGGAGCACAAAAGCAGGAAGTAATTCCGATTTTAAAGACATTTGCGGCTATTGCTTTGGATGTTCCTGTTCATCGTCGTATGATGCTTTATGTCAAATTGATGAATACATTTGGTGCTGAGAACTTTTTGTGGATGTTTATTGGTGCACTTTTGGAGATTCAAGTCTCACAACATCAAAAAGGAGGCAGTCAGGAAGAACTTCCAGTTCGTCTGCAAATTGCATTGTCAATTGCTAAGGAGTTTGATATAAAAACTATAGTTGCTACTGCTACATCGTTAATTGTCTATTTGAAGGAACTGCCAATGATTATTGATCACACGAAGTCCGAATTTGATTCTGGTAAGATTTTAAATCCAGATTTATTTTTAATCGCTGGATTTACTTAATTCAATTAGATTCTGTTTGAACATTTCATATTCACACAAAATTTTCAATTTTTGTGAATATTTTTAACCGTTATTATTCAATTTTTTTCCAAACAGACAACGAGAACAAAATATTCTGCTTAAAGACTCACACAAGTGGACAAGTAAGGCATTTCAAGTACCTCGTGTCATTATTTTTGAAATACATCCTTGAGTCACCAGAAGTTTCGAACATGGCACATCAAATGAGTCAGGAGAAGGTTATAGAAATGAGAACTCAATTCCAAGACTTGATTTTAAATACACTCATATTGATTCCGGACATTACTAAGTTTATTGAGCTTAAGCAGCATGAAAAGTCATGGCAAATTATTCTGCAAACATCATTTGATATTTTGGAAGCATCAATTGCATTATTGGCACCAGATATGCTACTCGTAGTCGTCGAGAAGTTAATTTGTCATGACTTTTTGGTCGTACGTAAGAAAGTGCTTGAATTGCTGAACAGAAAACTCGAAGATGATTACTTTAAGAACTGCGAGAATCAAAAATTATTAAAATTAATGATTCCACTCAAGAATGTCTACGAAATGATTGGAGAACAGAATGTGAAGCTAGCCGAAGAAGTCGTCCAACAAATGACGTTAATAACAATAAAACTACTGGCACGAAAATTGTGTGAGGAAACGCCTGATCCATTTATTGATTGTCTGAATCATTTAACGAACGTTATGGACGATAAAAATATTCGAGTTCCAGTCATGATTAATTTAGTTGATTGCGTCGCTGAACTTGTTGGAGAATTAAAAGTTCATTCGATTTCATTGCTCGGTAAAATTATGCCTAATTTGGTCAAGCTATTGACAGTTCAAGATGATAATCCATCAACGCTATTGCTACTCCATTCAGCCACATCGTCTTTATTGAAAATCATTGAAACTGTTCCTCTATTTTTGAGTCCATATCTTGTACAAATTATTTTACAATTAATTCGAGTATATCCAGTCTTGAAACTTATTAATGACTCAAAGATTACGTTGACAATTGGAAAGATTCGTAAGATTTGGGAGACATTTGCAGAATCAGTTCCATCAAGAATTTTAATTCCAACAATTCACGACATTTATGAGAAAATTAATCAAAAGTGCCAATATACATCAATTGAACCATTAATGGAACTAATGAATGAAATCTTCCAAAAGACAGACATAAAGGACATAAAGAGTTATCAAGGAGAACTAACTGAATTCTTCATGAAGGCTCTTCAGTTCCGTTGCAATGTAAAAGATGATGACGAAATTAGTTTCAATGAAATAAATGACATCGAGCTATTCATCATTCGAGCATTAATTGCATTAATTTTAAAACAATCCGAAGGCAGTTTCCGACCACTTTTTGAGAATATCTCTAATTGGGCAATTAAAGATACAGAAGAGAATGACAATAATCGTTTAATTACATTCTTTAGATTGACAACTGAAATTTCGATCGCATTAAAGTCACTGTTCTTACTATTCGCGTCAGATCTTGTCGATTGTGCTGGTTCCATTCTTGACAAATGTAATGCATCGAAAGTTGATGAATTATTCTTTGTTGGTGACACAGACAAGACTTTATATCTTATTGAATTCATATTGAGGACATTAAACAACATGTTCCTTAATGATCATCAAAATTTCATCAATTCACAACGTTTTGAGGTCATCATGCAGCCAATTGTGGATCAAATGGAAAATGTCGATGCATTAAAGAATGAAAACTTTCTTCAATTATTAAGAATGACTATTGGACAATTGGCTGTTGCTGCTTCTGATGATATTCTATGGAAACAATTAAATCATCAAGTTCTGCTCAAGACACGCTCAGAAAATCCAGAAATAAGAATTTTGGGCGTCAAGACATGCGTTGACATAGCGAGAAAATTAACTGAGGATTATGAGACACTTATACCTGAGACGATTCCATTCTTATCGGAATTATTGGCAGATGAAGATTATCATGTTGTTCAGGCATGCGAAAGTTCCGTACGTGAATTGGAAACGATTGTTGGAGAATCTTTACAGAAATATTTTTAAATTAATTTCAACAAAATTGAGTTATGTAAAGGCAAGGAACACGAAATAAATAGGATTTAAACAAATTTTGCACTTTTTATTGAGTTTGGTTCGGTGTTTAGTGCTGTTAAGTACTGTTGTTGCTGGTATGTCTCTAAGTTTGTCTAGTCTGAGCAGTAAAGCTCATTCTTGCTTGACAGAGCTAGACATAAGCGTGCAAGGAAACACTACTTTGTTAAGTAAGTCAGATCATCCATATGTTACAGGTACTGGACCTTTAGACATTCTGTCTCCAAATAATGCGCCTACTGTCCAACAAGCACCAATTCAGTCACAAACTTCCTCAATATGCCAGCACCAAAACTAATTTTTCATTCTTTTAACTTTCCTGAAGTGACTGCTTTCTATTATTACGTATTCAAATTGCGAAATCCTTTCGTCTTTGTTCATCCAGCAAGCTTCAATGGATATATGATGTGGAAAAAAAAGAGTGTAAATTTAATATATATCGTATTGACGCAGAAAAAAAATTCAATTTGTCAACGAAACCAAAGAGATGCTTTGCATAATTTTGCATAATTTAAGAGATGGATAGAATTCGAACGTTTTCAATGATAAATTTTATTCCTGCAAATATTGTTTTTGCTGTTTCTCGTCTCATGCTTGAATTTTTGTGTGTTGGAACTGGATATTTGATGATTTTTCATGCCTTTTAGATGTTTTTTAATGGAAATTTAATAATCAAAGGCACATCATGAATGTTAACATATCAAATGCCGAGTCAAATTTCTGTTTTTTGTGAATTGCTTATTTTGCAGCATAAAAGGATTTTTATTTTAAAAATTTAACGGCTTTTGATAATTCAAAAATTATGTTGAAAATCCATTGTCACTCAAGAAATCTTACAAAAACCTTATTTAAGCTATTAGACTTTATCGTTGCAGCATAATCTACCTTAAAAGATGCTCTTTTTAATTATTTCAATCAGAAGAGTTCAATTTGAAGCCTTTTTTGACAATTTTCAAATCACAACAAAACATAACCTTAAAATTCACAACAAAAACAACTCTTGATGAAATATTAAATTAATTAAATTTTAAGGTAAATTAAGCATTTTAAATATTAAATTTACTGTAAAAACCTATCAAAAACCTCTTGTTATCTGTAGGATATGGCAGAAATCAACATAATTGATTTACATGAAGAAATTCTCGAAAAAATAATTTTTCACGCATCAAATAGGAAAATTAAGGAACTGACAGAAGTTTGCACAAAGTTTAATGGTGTAATCGGCTCAAGTGCCAAATTAATGGATAAATTCGTAATCGTATGGAAGGAAGTAAAGTTTAAGGATGTCAAGCCACTCCTTTTGAGCAAGCGAAAGTACAGAAACATTGAAATCGAAGAGATTGGACTAAATCAAGATCTAGTGCATTTTCTCAACTCGCACAGCTCTACATTAACTGAGTTATCAATAAACAACTCCTCATTATCAATATTTGACTGCGAATTGATATTCAAAATTGTTGGAGATAACATTTTGGATTTAAAGCTTTATGGCGTCAACATTTGGGGCGAAAAGGAAACAGTTCCAGTTAATTTTCCAAAAATGGAATCGCTCTATTTAAATGCTACTAGGCATGATAAAATGTCATTAATCTTCAATTTCTTTATTGGTGCAAATACTGATGTAAGCGAGACAAAAAAAAAAGTTTTAATTAAACTATTATTAATTATAGTTTATTTATAGATACTAATTTACCGAGAATCTCGAAGTTTAGATGAACAAGAAATCACCGCACTTTCTCAAATGATTGCAAGTTTCCACAAATTGGCTGTACTGGATGTTGGTATTTTTGAGCTGCAGTTATTTGAAAATGATTTCCTGACTAAGAACGCCAATTTTAAGCTGGAAATATGCAATCTGCTGGTTTTTAACGTTCTTTATGGCAGATCAGAAGAGTTTATCAACAGAAGATACGTTCATTTGCTAAGTTTCTTGAAAAGTCAGCGAAGCAATTTAAATGAACTTAATATAACTAATCTTCCGATAACATCCGACGTCATTGAATGCATTCATGATTTGGAAAATCTACAGGATCTTACTATTCACAGCTATTCATCACATTTTATTCAAAAACCATCCAAGACAAATACATCCATTAAAAATCTTACGATTATTCTAGATTGTACTCGTGTTAATCCTATTTGTGAAATCATTTCAAGTTGTGCTGATATTCAACATCTAACTGTCGTGTACAGTAGCTTCACATTTGACTTGGCACTATCGATTGTCAATCATTTAAAAAACTTACAAAAAATTGTATTTAATAAGTTAATTCATATCTTTCCAATGACAATTCCAACAGTCACATCAATGGATTTCATTGATATTATGAACATTGATAGCATAATTAGAGTACTTCAGGTCAATCGTCAACTTAAATTCATTAAAATTCCACGAATTCTTGAGACTCATCCTAAATATGAAATTGCTATGGACGGATTGGATCTGGAAACATTAGAGTTCAATTAAGATTAAGAAACATTTAAATCAAAATATGTTTTTGGAAAGATTAATAAAATTGTAACGACAAATATTTAAAATCTGTTCAGTTGTTAAAGATCTCATTTCAGTTCAGTTCAAAACGGTTGCGATACAGGCACCTGTGCACAAGTAAAAACCGTACAGTTCCTTGATAACTTAAAAGGTTTTTTTTAAACAAAATTATACAATTTTCCTTCAAAGTTATCCCATTCTTAAACATCCTACAAACCCTTGAATTCTCAGAAAATACTCAGCACATACATTGCTTGAGTCAGTGTCTCGTAATCCTTTAGTGTGATTGAAAGGGATGCTCAAGTTAATATTTTTAAAAGGTTTCATATCACCATAAACCACCAACCGTATGCAATATAAGTCAAATTTGTTTTATTTCAAAAAAATGTGAAGCATGTATGTCGCACATCAAAAGTCCATAAAGCATTCATAAATTATTTCTTATTTATGATTGTGCTACCCCTTTGAAATTGATGAAGTAAAGCGTTTTGACAAAAATATTTTTTATGCATCTATGTCTATTTAACATCGGGTCGTGTTTCTTCATCATATTTACCGTTTTCAAATCATCTTACTTAACAGAAGAAACATTACGGTTCACCACTAAAGCTGCTTCTACTATTTAGCATGATTTTTGATGAAGTTGTCTGGTGCTATGTCAATAGTACTGTTTGATGTATGTCTCTTGAAATGTCATGATGAATTTTGATCAATTTTAACGGTTTCATAAAATTTAAACGGGTTTTAATTTTAAAAAAGTGTCTTTGCTAAAATTGTTTCTTGACTAAATTCAAATTTCAAAAGTGCGTTAAAAATTTCAAATTGAATTTTTCAAAATTATCAATGAAAAATTCGCTTTAAATCAACATTCCAGTCCAACAGAAGTGATCTGTTACTAGCTTTAAAAAAAGAAGGAAGATAAAAATTATTATTTTCTCAGAATATTTCAACGGATTAACATACGTGTGAGACGAAGAAAACTTTTTTCCATTTTTATGACTCCCTCTTGACCTTTTTTTTACACCGAGCATCATCCATACGATATTGGAAGAAATTGTCTAAAATTGAAAATTGGTTTTATTATTATTATAATTTGAAGGCTGTCATAAAAGTAGCAAACATTCTCTTGGATATAGACATATGCCAGTGGAAATATTCAATATATTTGCAATATCATTTCAATATTCAGCACCAAAGATATTTTCTTGAATTTTCATATTTTTATAATGCTCCACAACACGACGTGACGTTTTATGTCATTTATTTTCATGACTGCTATCAAATATTGATTGTTTTCAATACTTTTATTTTATTGTGGGATGATCAATATTGAAGGAAAGGTTTTTGTGCCATAAAATTTAAATTTTCATTTTATGGACGAAAAGCTAAATTGTCATCAAATTAAACTCGATTACCTTTTTTTGTTCCATGACTTAAATCTTCTTTATTTTGAACCAGCTTACACTTGGTAATGTATTTTGTGACTGTTAAAATTTTAAATTGATCATTTTTGAATTTTTATATTCACACCGTTTTCACGTGTGAATCTATTGGTTTTATTCAGATTGAAAAATCAGTTTTTTGAATTTTGTGAGGATATGGAGCAAGATAGCTTAAAATGTTCAGAGATGAAAAGTTTGTGCCCGGAATTTCACATCTTTGCAAAAAAAAGATTTCAAACTGGTTGCGGCATTGCTGAGAAAATCGCAAAATACGCTTTCTGTAAGCAAGCAAGTTAATCAGCAAGAAATCTCAATAACGAGACATCGTAGTTTGAATGTGTTTTCACCGTTATTTTTAAATTTTACATCACTGTTATTTTTTAAACTTTATATTTTTGATTATTAACTTTAAACGTTTAAAAAGGGAAAAGGAACATTAATTTCTCAAGATTCAGCATTCTCATCGTTGGCAAATAGTTTGGATGTTTCTTAACTTCACTTGGTAAGTTTAAGACTTTCAACTGTTGATTAACCTGAAGAAGCTTTAACACGTCATTGTAATCCATAAAGCGAATAACTGAAAAGTCCATAGTTTTAACACTTGCGAATGTCATCGGAAATATAGAACCATTTTCAACAAATGTAATGCTTTCCAAACTTTTCATGTAAAGAGCAATGCACATCGATATTCCGGAAGTAACTTCAAGATTGAATAGACTCAAGTCTTCAACATTTAAGCAGTTTGATAGAATAGCTGTATATCCTATTTCTGTGTCACGATCTAATTGACCTTCTCGATATTCTTCATCATACTCATGGAAATGTCCTATCTTAAGCATTTTAATTGACTTATTTTTTACAGTTATTGGTTTTGACGTACGATAAACGCATTTGAATAAAGCTAAGAATGATAATTTGTCCATAGCCAGAATACTGTCAACAATTTCGGACGAAATTGGAAATCGGTTAATTCGCATTGATTCCAAACTAGCTCGTTGACGATTCAAGAAATTCTTCAAGTGGACACAACCATTTGCAAATTGTTCTTCATAATCCATTGGCTCAAAATCCAATTCACCATATTCTCCGTCAGTACTTTCATGGCTGTACTTTTGCAATTGAAATGTGGCATTTTTAGCAAAATAGTCATCGTTAAAGAAGTATGGCTCAAATGTGTGAAGCTGTAAGTTCTTTAATCCATCAAAACATGCCACCATTCTTGAAAATTGATAAGCCTCATAAACTTCAAGTCTGCGCTGGTCATTGTAATCAAATTTCTACAAAAAAGTTTAATTAATACTAAGTTCTCTAAATTGTTGCTCTACTTACAATCACATTAGTAGCACCTCTGAATAACTTAAATATTTGTGACATCTGTTTGCATTCTATACCTGTAATACGTATTTTTTCCAATTTTGGAAAGTCAACTAGATCTTTATAATGTTCAGCTTCACTTGATAGTTCCAACTCATCGAGGTTTAATTTTTCGATATTCTTAGCCACAGCTTTGATTATATCCCTCAATTCTTGTACATTTAATGAAGAGTTTTGAATTGAAACATCAGCAAAGGGATTTTTGTTAAGGAAAGTCAACAAGCTCTCATCAACACATTCGACTTTCTTTATTGAAATGTTTTGATACTTTCGCTTGCTTGCTAGCATAAAACCAATATCATTATCCTTCTTTGGGCTCCAATAAACAGTCAGCAACTTCATCAAATCAGTACTTCCGCTTATTATGTCATTAAATCGACTGAACACTTCAGTCAAACTTTTGATTGTTTTCTTTCCATAATAATCATCTAATTGTTTGAATATATTTTCCAAGATTTCGTCAGGCAAATCACTCAACTTTGGTCCAGACATGCTTGTTGCTTTAATATCTGAAATGAATGATAAGAATAAGTTGAAAGTGGTTGAAAGTCAAATTTAAAGTTTACTCGGTCTAAGAGATCTTTGATAAAAAACTGCAATATATTCAAATTACATTTCTTTATCAACCAGCCAAGAGACTTCCTAAAATGGCTTGGGTAAGTTATTGTTACGTTTAATATATTAATAACTTTAAAATAGGTTTTACGAGTTGTAGTTCGAAAATTCAAACACAATAAGGGGCCGTTCACTTGTTGAAAAATTGTAACAAAATGTAACATAGTGGGAGGGGGGGGGGGGGGTGTCAAGAAAAAAAAATTTCACACCAAAAACATTTTTTTAAATTTTCCACCTTTTTAATGATAAAATAAATTATGAACGTTCAGGGGGGGGGGGTGAGTTGTAACATATTGTAACAAGGGGGGGGGGGGGGAAGGGTGAAAAAAGTCGTTTTTTTGCGTAACGTTATAAGTGAACGGCAAATAAAAAGTTTCGAGCACTATTTATTCGGCTTTAACCTGTTGAAATATTAATTTCCTGTATTATGTTTATTTTTACGTGAGAATTTAATACGTATGCCCTACAGCAAAGATATCATTACGGGCTATAAGTTGTGTATGGATTTATCACAGAATGGAATTGAAAAAAGTTAAAACACAATATAGAGTGACTCGACAAATAGAATTTTGTGTACATCCAAAATAATAAAATATAAAACAAGGAAGAAGTAAAAGGAACTAAGTTTGAATGAATGGAAATCCCACAAAAGTGTAGAAAAATATGTCATCATTACTATCAAAAAGCTATTGTTACCATAAATCCCACTATTATTCTATTCAACATCTCATCTCGTTCCTTAACTAAGGCCGTAGAAACCAAAAATTAATTATAGAACAAAATAGTACAGAAGAAGGAAAATTGTGGGAAATTTTGAGTATGGTTTTTAGAAAATTCATACTGTGCCACATATTTCATCTATTATTTTCCCATTTTATAAAAATGCCTCTGCCATTTATACAGAGAGACACTTGTACGTAGAGAGTCTCTTGCTATTTTGTGTGTATATCATAGCAAACCTTCGTCATTGTCACAAAACTCCCTTCTTCCAAATATATATAAAGTCTCTCCTACTCACTTATTTCTCGCTTTTTTGTGTATGCTCATCTCTGACGACATTAATGTGCATTTTGCGAAGATTATTTATTTCATTTAATAAAATCCAACATTAAATTTTATTGAGTGTGATGATAAATTATGATTTTATGTGATAATCACCACAAACAATGGGATGGGAATCTACCATACGTACGAATATGGCTCATATCGTGTGCTGCTGCTTTATACATCAATCCAGTGAATATTTGATTTAAATTTAAATTCATTTTTCGACATTCAATGAAATTCTGATACAAGAAGCAGCAACAGCAACCAGCACATAAAGTTAGAAGTTAACTATAAACGATAATAGTAATCATAATAATATTCTTTATTCGCTAGGGAATTTCTAAACTCATTTAACTTCATCTTTCGCATATTTAAATGAAACTTACAAAGCACGAAAATACAGAGCATCGTGTATATATAATAATAAGAATCTTAAAAGGAACATCATCTTCCAACAATTTATAGTTTAAATTTTGACTGAAATTTTTTTCTTTTTTCTTCCGTATCTTCCTCTTTTTTTTTTACCTTGAAGTCTATAACAGAATTTTTTGAACTTACTTGGTTTGGTGAAAGAGATGTTATGGATGAAGCAGTTTGGGTTTGTTGAAGTTGAACATGAAGGATTACTATCCTAATCGGCAAAATTCATTGGTTCTACATCCTGAACTTTTCAAGATGATCAAAAGTCAGTTGATCTGCTGTGCATTCTTGATTTAATGTTGTTCGTAGTTTTGCCTAGCAGACATTATTATTACTTCAGACTTGTAGAATTCGGAAGTATTTTTAAATATGTTTAACAAAAGCCCCACACATTAAATGACACAACAAAGCAAAAAAACAAAGGCTAATTGCTTGTAAATCGAAGAATTTTAGATTCAAAAAATTTAAAATTCAAGTTTTAAACAATTTCAAATATTTCCTTATACCAGTACAGGCAAAGTTTTTTGCGCATTTTTGTAGGATCCTAATGATACTAAGACTAGTTCAAACTAAAGGGGGTTCTCGATTTGGATACCTATTTGATTCCAATTGAGAACCACTTTTAACTTTTCTACCTCTCAAATGCGCTTCTTTCACAACATAACCTCAAAAATATCCAAACCTTAATTTTCTTTTATATCATGTTGTTAAAAAAAAGTTTTCTTATATTGCGCGCGAAGTTAAGAAAAAGGGTTAAAGTAGAAAGAGAATTAATAAAACAGAACCGTTAAATTATCCTGTAATTCATTTTTCACTTTCGCCTCCATTATACGGAAAAGAAAATTTTTTTATTTCTCAATTCTGAGGTACAATTTGAGGAGAAGAGGGAAGTGGAAACAACTTTATCTTTTAATAGGATGGAAATTTTTCCTACTCTATACAACTTTTCTCGTATTTTTTTTTTTTGCTGCTGTTGCTGTATCTATCTCGTTAATAAACTCTTATAGCACAGCACAGAAAAAAAAATCTTCATTTCTTCTAAAGTTGTTCCTTCTTATTGCTCGCTGCTTGTTGAGTATTAAAAATTATGAGATATCTGGGTTTTTTGAATTTTATATTCAAATTATGACAATGCACAGCAACCTTAGCCTGTTTGCATGTCTTATGAGATGGTGCTTGGAGGATTGGGAAGGGGATAATAGATTAATGAGGAAAGTTTTACGTTGAAAATATTATTGAATTTTTTTTTAAAAAAATGTTTTATAAGACCAAGATAGGTAGATGTTCTCACACAAATTATACTTGACCCTACTCGTCCATTTTTATATACTATTCAGGGGCGTAGCCAGAAAATTTTTAAGGGGGCCCATTTTCGAAAATTAAAAAACCGTTATTTTGAATCCTTAAATCTATATTCATTCTTCATAAGTTTAAATATTTAATTCATTATTCATAAATTAAATTTAATTTTTCGTGCTGATTTTGACATTTCTTTCATCACTTCCTCTACATTAACTGGTTCTTCTCTATAAATACTTAATAAAACAATTATCAGATTTTCGTAGGGGGGCCCGGGCCCCCTATGCCCCCCCCCCTGGCTACGCCCCTGATACTATTTAATATAAAAAAATTTAAATTTTCAAGTTTTCATTAAAATACTTATAAATGCATCACTTTTCGACTTTAGTCAGTTACTTTAAAAAATAGTAATGCATTTGCAATACTCCTGTTCCAACAAAACTTAATAGAAAGTTAAAAATTTTGCAAAACAAAAATTGAAAATTTTCTTTCATAGTATTAGTGTTTACAGAAAATTCAAATCTTTGACCGTTGAAATTTGATATATTTTTGTAAGGGCTCATCTATATATCTTGCATGAGACATACAGACAGGTTAAGGCAGGTTAAGGCTTCAATTTCTGACTAAAATTTTGATGATGGTTTTTGGTTCAAAAAGTTCCCCATCATGTTGTTTTCTCCTCTGTGGGTGTGAGGAGAAGTAAAACGTTTCATGTTCTTGTTGCGTACAAGTTTATGGAAAAAGTTTTTCATTTATCGGCTGATGATAGGATGCTAAATGTTTAAATTGTTGCCGACACTGAGTTGTTTTGTGTTATGGAATATAATTGCTGCTTTGGGGAAACTCATCGTGCTTTGTTCGACGGAATTAAAAGATGTTGTTTTATAATTTTTTTTCGCTTAAGTCAGCCATAAAAACTTAAGATTATATTTTTATTAAAAACAGCAACAACAAGAACAACAGCAAATATATAAGTAAGATGTAAGAGTCATTGTATTGTAATATAATTTTTGTTAATAATGTTCCATGACAAATTCCTACTTTGTCAATGAATAAATAGCATGAAATGATAGGGGCTGGCTGCTACCGATACACATTTTTTCATCCTTTCACCCCTCCATACCCTTGATTTAAAAAGCAAATAATATATACGCACTGACTTCAAACACTTTTATGAACATGTGTTTTTATTTCAGTGTATAAATATTGTATTATGTTTTGTACGATAATAGCCATGCAATCAAATGTTATGGACTGCTTTTTTTTTGCTATAATTGAAACACATGATTAATTTTCGACGGACCGAATGACGAATTTTTCAGCATTTTTTTTTTGTTTGACATTATTGCTGTGGAATTAAAGAAAGAAATTAACAGCTAGTCAAAATTTAATTTTGATTTTTTAATTCTTTATGGGATTTTAATTTAGTTTTTTTGTCAGTATTTTAGTGCATTTTTTAAAGGGAGAAGATACCAGCATTTTGTAAGATTAGGTCAAATTTATGTTTCAGAAAAACGATAAGTCCGATGCAATACCACTTGTAGAATAACTCAGAGATCGAAGCCGATTTTTTCGGCTTAACTCAATTTTTGATTTTTTTGATAGAAAAAAGCCATTTAACACCCATTTTAAGTATTTAAATTGAACTTTACATGCTTTACCATGATTCTGTGAAATATTTTTTCAGCATGTAGCTATAGTGAGCTCAGAATTTCAAGTTAAAGAATGTTAAGCCGAAATTTAAGCCGATCGGCTTAAAATTGGCTAAATTGAAATTCAGAGCTTACTATAGCTACATGCTGAAAAAATATTTCACAGAATCATAGTAAAGCATGTAAAGTTCAATTTAAATACTTAAAATCGTAGTTAAATGGCTCTTTTCTATCAAAAAAATCAAAAATTTGTCAAAAATTGAGTTAAGCCGAAAAAATCGGCTTCGATCTCTGGAATAACTCTTAAAGCTTTATTGCATTTTAGAATTGTATTTGATTTTAATCAACTTTGCAACTGAACTTTGCTCAAAATTGATTGTTTACATTTACACCTGAAGAGTTTGCTTATCAATATTTGCATGATTTAATGCTTTCTGAGTGACTGAATGATTTCAAAGTGTTGAAAAATAGTGAGCAAGCCTTCTATATTACATTTCTATGATAAAAGACATAAACATTCATAAAATGACAAATTTTATTTCTTTTCAAACAAAATAACAGACTACCGTCATTTCGTTTCGGACTTCTTCGAAATTAATTTCGATTTCTTCGATATTAGAGCCGAAAATTCAAATTTCAAAAAACAGTTACATTATGTAAACAATAAATTATTTTAATTATTACCAATTCTGCACAAATCCCAAAGTTCTTCATAAATTATTAATTTTATATTTTTTTTTATCCATTCTCAACTTTATTAACAATAAAATTTGAGCAAAATGAATAAGTGCATGGTAAAATCTGGTTCAACCGTCAAAAATTTTTGAATATTATAACGGTCATAAAACATTTGAATTTTTTTGAATATAAATTTAACGGATGTTATATGAATTGGCGGTAGTCTGCAAAATAAATTGAAGTGTTTGCAGACTTGAATTTTAGCTGGAAAATTCAAATATTAAAATAACGTTCGATTAGAATTTCTACCTATAAAAATTCGAATATTTAAAACAAAATTGCAATGCAATATTTGAATAATCATTGACTGCATACATGACCCCCATATAAAATATTTAGTCGACTCATTCTATTCTTGAACTACATCCTACATATTTGAAATTATATTTTCACAACGCATAGTGATTTATATTAATTGTCATATAATGTGATAGGGTATATGTTGATTAATTGCTGGTATCAAAAATCAATTAATGCCAATCACATGAAAGGGATGAGAAGATTAAACCTTAATGATGTCGTTGACAAAAGAGGGGTTGTACAATATGTATTGTTTTATAAAGTTTCCTTAATTTCCGTCAAACTGTCAATGTTAATCATCATGTACACACCAAAAGTTGAGCTGTTTCACACAAAATGACATTAAACATAAATTTCATCTCCTCCACAACACGAAGAAAAATAAAATTTAATTTAGTTTATTGCTTTCAACGGCTCGTATTCATTTTCATCATGATGAAAAAAAAAATTGAATAGCAATTCAAATTATTGATGATGAATTATCGATACGGGTGTCAAAATATTATATATTTCATCATCATCAGTGCCAATATTTTGTATTGTTAAAGTAGCTTAAAAAAAATGTTAAAATCAAACACGTACAGCATGTATCTCTCGTGTGAGACATAAAATATATTATATGCAATGTATATCCAATGAAATTTACAATTATTTTAGCAATGAATAAAATAATTTTTCACTCATTCCATTGACATAAAATCCATTTAATGAAAGATGATACCGTAATTTGAAATCGATATCATTTTATTTAATTTCATCGAGTTCGGCAAAATGAACCATATTATGCTATTAATGTTAATGAAATTTTTATCGATTTGCGGTTGACACTTCATTTTTGGCTCCTCATTTTCCGATTTTTCACATTTTTGTGCAAAAAATTAATTAATTTTAATTTTATTCGAGCTGGAATCTGTTTCGAGGGTTCTGTGAGAGATTTGCAGTTTGTCGTTCATTTTTCCTGAGATTGGCTATGATCATTCGCTAAACAGCTCAAGTATCAGGATTCAAACTGACTTCCTTTGCTAAATTTCACCCAAAAATAATATTGATTCTTTTATATAACCACCCAAATCTTATGATTTATACCGGATCTTATACCGGATCTAGTACAGTGGTGTTCTAAGAAACACTTGATTTTTATGTCTTTTTTTTCGAATTCCAACAATTTTGTGGCAACATAAAATACAAAAACTCCAGTCAAAATAAAACATTGCGCTTTAGCTCCCATCAATCCAAAATTACAAATTCCTACTTACATTTTGTCGTCCTATAACTTTCCATAATGCATAAGTGTAGTGATTATAAAATGCAATAAAAATAAATCCCAAAAAACATAAATCAAACGTTTATTAAATATCGGATTTAATCAGTTGCGGATTATGAATGAATTTAAATTTAATATTTGAAAATTAATAAAAATTAATCATTTTGGACAGCAGATGGGAAATTTTTTGACTCTTTGAGCGAGATGTGAAAAAAAAGCAGAGGAAATTCCTTTCGAAGAT